TTTTTTTTTACATGGGATGTCATCATGATATTCCAATCAAAAAACAGTTTACATGTTTTATATGATAAACAAAAGCAATTTAATGTATTTTTATAGAACAAAATTTGTTATCAAATATTCACCTAATATTAATATTCAATAGTTTTATGGCAAATATTGTTTTATTTTTGAACAATATGCAAATCATATGAAAGAAAAATTTACTGCACTGCAATAAACTGTAACAATTTAATGTATAGAGAAAAAATAATCAATTATATTCAAGTCTTTAATATAATAAAAAAGAGTGGGGAGCGTTTTTCATCTATCATCTACCGTTTCATACTCAATTATGATTACATTCATGTAGTATTAAAATAATCTGTTTCATTTATTCAATCTAATCTTGTTATCTACGAAAAAATCTTAAAGAGTTGTTGTTCAATTATTCTTTTTTTTATAATATTTTCGACGACAAAAAGTAAAAATCACGTATTTTTACTGCCAGTCATTTTTGTCATCCTGTTCTTCTTTCGAGTTGTATATGTTCGAAACAATTCATTTTTATATGTAAATATAAAAACAAAAACAGCATTATGTTAAAGAACAAACATTAGCAGTACTGCGCAAATCTAGGTACATCTTTCTAGTTAAGCCTAAACACTTCCGGATTCTTAACATAAACTAACCACAAGAAAATAAATGTTCCAAGTTGGTTTTTTTTCTTCATGTAGAAAAACAAGAATAGATTGCGGTGAGAGTAACTGATGTTTTGATCAATTATAATGGCAAAAACAACAAAAATAGATTTTAAATACTTTAATTAACACAATATTTTTATCCACTCAATGTAAGTGAGAATCAATTTGTGTTTGAATAGTAACTAAGATGTCTCTCGAGATTTTACAGCCGCAAGGAATACAAAATGTAAAAACAAAAATTAATATTCTAACTACGAAGACATTTTTTCGTATAAGATTCTAATTTCATCATGTACAATTAGCATCTATTTAATGTAATCGGAAATAGAAGCAAAATCTCCAATAAATTAAATTCATTTTAGTATTTGTAAAATTGTATATTATTTTTTTCTGAATTAATATAAAAAAAAAAGAAAACAAACTAAGAATTCTACATGTATATATATATATATACCTGTCACACCACAAAGTTCAAATACAGACAAATGAAAATATATAATGAACGACCGGTTCTGTTATGAAAATAATAATTAGATGTGAAATTGTTGGAATACACCAGGAAAATAAAAATAAAGGAAGGAATAAAAAAAACAAACAAACAAACAATATTTTTTTCCAAAAACAAATGTTCTAACACCTAGTTCTTATTTAGGTGAATCTCCTAATGTCAATTATTAAATACTTAATTTTAATTTAAATATTACCACATACAATATCTCGTCCAATACCTCGTAAAATCATTTGACTAAATTCATCAAAATTAATATATTGTTTACCATCTCTTGCTACTTTATTAATATAATTTAATAGAGTTTCTCTACTCATAATTGGATGTAAAACAGATAAGAAGCCAGCTAATTCGTCAACATCAATTGTATTCGAAGAATTCTTATCAAGTAAACGAAATGCTTCTCGAACTTCATCAGCAGCATATGTACCCATCATTAATGGTCGAAGAATAGTAACAAATGTATCAAATGGTAAAACATAACGTTTATATTGAACATTATTTGCAATACGTTCATATTCCGAACGTGTTATTGATGCTTGATAAGTTCTTGAACGTGTTTCTTGTTTAGTTTGCATATTTTCCCATACTTGTTCTTGTTTTGTTTCCTCATATTCATATACAATTTCAATCATTTGTCCATTATTACGATAGATTGTTTCACTAACAGTATACTGTAATTCAGTCATTACTTCTATTGTATCTCGCATAAATATCTTTTTGAAAAATGTATTAAAATAAAACAATCTACGCTTATTTTTTTGTTGACAAGAGAAAGAAAACGAGAAGAAATCTTAGAAATACAAGGCTACTGAATTCTGTATGTCGAATAAACCAAAAAAAAAAAAGAAGAAGAAAATGCACAAACAACCATCGAATTGAAATGAGAAAAATGATTATGACAAAACTTTTTTTTGCTCAAATTAATTCCGAATTTTTACTACCAATGTTCTTCAGTCAATAATCGATAGTTAATGAAACAATAATATTTGATCGGACAAAATCTCTTTCTCCCACGTAAAGATCTGTAGATACGTATGTTTTTGAATTGATTGTTTAGGTTAGATATTATGATAAGTGAATGCTGTATGATAATTTGTAGGATTTCTTATTTGTGTTGTTGGTAAATAAAGTATTAGTGAGTTTTAGTTTATGTAGAGTCTAATTTTTGAATTATCATTTTTATATTATTCGTTGAATTGTCTAAAAAAAACGTATTTCGATAAATTGTACTAATATTTAAATAATTTTGAAATCATAATCATTAGTAATTGTTCAATAAATTATTGCATAGATAATATCTAGTTAATTAGAAATTATTCGTAATTTTTAATATATTCAAGTAAAAGATTTTTTACGTACAGTATTTATTCGAATAAATGTTACTGTCATATTTTATTGTAGACGAAAACAAAGAATTAATGAATAAGAAAAAACATTTTTCATTATGAAAACTACTTGGGGACTAATAGAAGATTATTCATCTTTTTGTTTCTCTCTATAATAATAATAATAATAAAGAGAAAAGAAAAACTTAATCGTGAATAGCGTTAAAAGAGTTTTTCAAAGTTACTGGTAAAATATACAATATTTATCGGATATTTGTTTACTCAAATAATGCAAAAATCGGATTCGATTATTATTTAAATTAGTCTATACTCTCAACATTTAACATTTGAATTTATAATTTTAATCATTAGTTACTTTTTACCATAAATATAAGTATCAATAAAATGAAGATCTATATGTTCTGAAATCATATTGAATGTTGTTATTCATCAAAACTATTTATATATGTTTAGATTTGATCAATGTTATGAAATAAAAAGTAAAATATATACAGAATATTGGTCATTAATGGTCTTCTTTTATATCAAAGCAGAAAAATAGCAATACAAGGTTAAATAAACACATCATATAATCGATATAATAATTATCGTTTCTTCTCGCTCATTTATCTTAAATTCTAGCAAAATAAAGTTATGATTGTCTCATAACAACACTATTTATAGTCGATAGAAAAATATTCTAAAATATGTTTGTTTACCTTGTCGTTCGTTCTTTTTCAATAATAAACATTAACTCCAAATTTGTTAACTTAGTTTTTCTAGTTCTTCGTACAAGAATATTATTTAGTTTGTCAAATATTTCTTTCTTTTAATCATAGTTCGAATACTCAATGATATCTTTATCCTAAATAAAAACTGGATTATTTTTTAAAACATTCTATCCTATTATATCTCATTCAAAAATAACCTGACTTAACAATTATAAAAGACTATATCATAGTATTTATGCAGATAAATTTCAATAAATAATTATCAATATAAATTAATAATAGATTAATTTAATGAAATATTTATGCATGAATGAAGAAGAATTTTATTTACATATTGAATTTCTGCAAAAAAAAATTAATATTAATTATTCATTTAATATAAAAAGAACAAAGTATATCAACGTATGAATTTTTTCTTCGTCAATAAATCAAATATATTTTTGTATTTTATTTAATTATCAAAAACAAGTTTTTCTTAGTTATATATTGTAAATAATAAATTTTCTATTAATTTATGCTGAAACAAGTCATGAAAAAATTTAATTAGAGAAAAATATAAGAAAATCAAGTTTTTTACGAGAAAATAATTCCATATTTAGTTATGTATCTACGTAAAGGTACTATTTATTTTGATTAGTTTTTAATTGATGAAACGATGTTTTTATGTGTGTGTGTGAAATTTCGCAACACTTTCAATTAGATATACAATTGTTGAAATAATTTATACAAGAGCGTGCGAGTATGAATCATGAAAAAGAAAAGAAAAGAACTCTATAATTTGAATGTAAGGAAGCATGGACTTCAAGCTATTTAGTTTATGTAAATTCCTTTATTTAAATTATTATAAAAATAATAAGAAGAAAAGCTAACATATATCCGACTGGAGGGATTATTTTCAAAAATAGTAATTTTCAATCAGCTGAATAGAAAAATAGCTGACAGCTAAGAAGACGTATATTCTAAAAATAATCGATTAGATAATAAATTTTCATCTTTTTAATAATCTATCGAATAATTTAAAATAATTTATTAATTTTAAAATTACAACGATTATTTTCTTCGAGATCATTCTGAAAATATTATATATTTTTACATGAGAAGTACACAGTAGAAATATTAATATATCAATAATAACCTTAATAATGCTGCATTTATATTTCTATGAAGTTTTTTTTTCTTCTCGACATATTTCCTGTCAGACTGGCATATAAATCCGGATATGATAGAAGTACTAATTTTACAAACGAGATACTTATTTTTTTTTCCTTTTCTCACACTTTTTCTGATTAATATAATCAATGAGAATATGAAAATCATATGCTTAGTTTCTTCCTTAATGCTGTTTACCAGCGCCCTCTTATGTAGATCTCTATGAACGTCAAAACTAGTTCAGTCATTGAGTACTATCTATCTTGAATAATAAATAAATAATAGCTAGAGAAAATATGAACAAATAGGGAAAGTTTTATTTAGCTACTTCAATACTAGAAAAAGATCTTTTCTCATTTATTATTTCCTTTTTCTTCTTTCTTTTCTCGGAACAAATATTGATCCGTGTTTGATTAAATAATTTTTTTACCTATACATTTATTTTAGATAAAACGAAAAAAAAACACATGGGTTGCATTCTTGGCATAGTAAGTTTATATTAATTTAATTATATAAGTTTAAACTTTGTTCTTAGCTTGGGTGTTGTTTCGGTTCAGCAGCTTGCAGTCTCTGTTGTATTTGCTGTCCCTCGACGCGGAATTCCTTAATAACACGTTTAGCATATGGTTTACTTTTATTAATTGGCACGATTATTTCTTGGGTATTATCAACGCCTGATTTTGTTAAAATACTTGCCAAAGTTAGAAATTCATTTGATTGTATGGATGACATTTTTTTTGTTTTTTAATTAGATTCCCGGTTTATGTAAAGGCAAAATATTAGATGACATAGAAGCATTAAAAGGATATATGTCATGTGAAAGATTTGTTGGATATCGGAATGTTTATCGAATTCAATTTTCGTTTGCATGTTTTTTCTTATTGATGATGTTTTTAATGTTATTTGTTAAACGATCAAAAGATCCTCGAAGTAAAATTCAAAATGGGTAAAAATTGAAATGAAATTTTTTTGTTTATTGAAATATTCGATTTTATATTAGATTTTGGTTTTTTAAAATTTTGATTATTATTGGTATTTGTACTGGATTTTTCTTTATAACTAATCAAGGATTTGCATCAAGTAAATTTTTCTATTGATCATATTTTTATTGAAAATTTTTATTCTTTAGTGATTATGGTTCTTGGAAATATTTTTAGTTTTATATTCATACTAGTTCAACTTATCCTGATTATTGATTTTACACATAGGTATGTTTTATTTGAATGAGAAAAAAACGAAAGAAAATTTTTTTGTCTTTTAGTTGGAATGAAAATTGGGTTGGTAAAGGTGAAGAGGGTAGTAAAAAGCATTTTTGTGGTCTTGTATTCTTCACAACATTATTATATTCTTTGTCAATTATATCTATTATACTTCTCTATATATTCTATGCATCGAAACCTACCTGCAGTCTTAATATATTTTTTATCACAATCAATTTTATTCTATGTTTAATTGTATCTATTGTATCTGTTTTACCGCCGGTTCAAAACTATCATTCAACATCAGGTTTATTACAATCATCATTTGTTACACTTTATGTTGTATTTTTAACATGGTCAGCAATGACAAGTGAAAAGTCACGTAGGAATATTAGCACATAGAAAAAAAGAATAATTTTATTGAATAAAAATTATCTATTTAGATTCAATATGTAATCCATCATGGAATGATATAATTAGGAATAATAATAATAATTTAACTGACATAGATCCAACAGAAAACGGATCTGTTAATAACTCATCAATCATAGCATTGATTATATTTTTTTGTGTTATTTTTTATTCTGCGTAAGTTTACTTCATAATTGAGATGAAAAGAAAATAATTATTGGAATATTTTTCAGTACAACAAGTTCAACAAAATCATCAAGTGGAAAATTACTTGGAATATCAAGTAATGAAGATATTGAAAAGACTGGTAGTAAAATCGGTATAAAGAAATGTTGTGTTTTTTTTTCTTTAAATTTTTATAATTGTTTTTTTTTAATTATAAGATGGTGGTAAGAGTTATGATGATGAAGAACAATCTGTAGCTTACAATTATTCATTATACCATTTTATGCTTTTCTTAGCTTCATTCTATGTCATGATGACATTAACAAAGTAAATTAAAAACATATGATTTCTTTTCTAATTATTATTTTTTTCTATTTGTTTTATAGTTGGTTTAAACCAACGAATAATTTCTTAGATTTTCATCAAAATAATGCTGTTGTTTGGGTAAAAATTACTGTATCATGGACGTGTATTGTTTTATATTGTTGGTCTGTTATTTCACCATGTGTATTTCGCAATCGAGATTTCTCATAAATGAGAAAATTTGTATTATCAGATATTGTCTCGTCTTGTATTTTATATTATAAATCTTCATATATATATATGCATATTTGTATTCTCCCGTCTTTTTTTTTATTTGTTTGAAATTGTATAAATAAATAGAGAAACAACATAGTGACAAAAAGAAATCATTCAGTATGTTTTCGGGGTAAATCATCGTCACTTCCATCATCATCTGATGATGAGAAATAAATTTCTGCACCCGTAAATAAATATCGTCGTGGAGGATAAGATATATATGATAAATCTTGATTAAATAGAGGAGAATTTTTCAAAGCTGAATATGGACGTTTACGTGATGATGTTGAAGAAGATGATGATGATGTAATTATTGGAGGTTTAAAAAGGCGAGGACGAAGAGATGATAAACGTTCTTTTGGTAACGATGTATCAGTTGTTATATTAGTCGAATATTTTGGTTTTTTTCTTTTTTGTTTTTGCATTGATGTACGTAAATTATTATAAAGAATTTCATTCATAAATATATGATTTTTATGATTTAATTGTTTTATTTGTCCAAATGATGGTTCAAATTTTGCTAAACGAAGACATATTTCATTAATAATCAAATCACAATTTCCTAATAATTCAATATCAAATGATTTGTGTGGTAAACGTTCACGATTAATTAATATTTGTGGAATATGTGCTGGTAAAAGTTCTGATACAAGTGAAACTGGTTTGACCTTAACAAAAAAAATATTAGATAAAGAAAAAAAAACAAATAATTTCTTAGAAAATATACTTTTAAACTTGAACCCATAACAATAAGTAAATCGCATTTATCTTTATCAATTGATATTGTCTTATGAAAATCTTCAGGTAATGGTTCACCAAAAAAAACTATGTCTGGTTTAAGTATTGCTTTATTTATTGTTTTTGAACATTTATGACAATGTGGAATAATTTGTTGTAAAATTTCTTTTTTGATTTCATCACTCGTAACACGATTAAAACAATGGCGACATGTCGCAGTTGAAAATGATCCATGACATTGAATAAGACGTTTTATAGGACATAAATGTTCAAGTGAATCAATATTTTGAGTATAATTGCGTAATAATTGTTCGCGTCGTTCTAATTCAGCGATAAAATAATGAGCTAACGATGGTTGATATTGACCAGGCCAAATTTCTTTAGCAAAACGAAAAAATGGTCGAGGATCTTGACTGAAATATTCTATATCAAACATTGATTGAGGATTTGGTAATTCAGGAAATTCTTCACGTAAACGAGCATAAATGCCATTGCGAGAACGAAAGTCTGGAACTAAAAAATAAAATATTTTATATAAGTGAAAATACGATTGAATAACTTACTTCCACAACTAACAGAAATTCCAGCTCCAGTAAGAACAAGAATATTTTTACATTTTCGAATTAAATCTACAGCATCATCAAGTGTTTTATATTGCTCAAGTGGTTGTCGCTGTTGTACAGGTAAAAAAAGATCCATAAGAAGTTCAAAAAGTGTCGATTGTGATACATCATTAGGTAAGCCAGGTAAAAGACGTGACAATATCGGACGTAAATCAACACCTGCACGCATTTGTTCATCAATCCAATCGAATGTTATATTCATTGGTATTCTATCTTCATCATCATTCTCATCACTATCAGAAGTATTATCTGAACTATTTGCAGGTACATTTGCATTATTTTTATTATTATTATTATTATTATTATTATTTGTTGAAATATGTGTTACAGTCAATGTTGGTGGATCAGGAATTTCAATACTCTGATTTGATGTTTCATCGTGTACAATCGATGATGATGAAATAAAATCGATTATTGAACTTGAAGACATAAATCTGTTTAAAGTAATAATAGAGAGAGAGAGAATGAATGACCTTTTTGTCAACAAGTACAAGAGAATCAATCAATAAATTGTGCTCATATTAAAAAATATATGTTTAACTTTTTTTAAAATTTTAAGCTAAAAAAATAAATTAAAATTAACACAGATACTTCTTGGAAAAGAGAGACATAATTGAATATTTAATTGTTTTAAATTAATTGTTAACGACATCTATTTCACATAAAGAGAGGTTGTTACTAATTCTCAATGATTCCAATGAACATTATTGATGGTAGTATTTTTATTCGCTGTATTTTAATTGATTTTCTGTAAATGAAAATTATTATTTTATCAATTTCAAAAACAGAAAATAATCCTTAATATAACTTCAGTTATAGTTTACATTAATAAATAATATTATTATTCGAATAAAATTTTTCATAATAAATTTCTATATATTCGATCGAACATAAAATACATGGAATGTTGATATATACATTTTCAGTTATTCGTTTTAAATATATTTAAACCTATAAAGTATGGTATAATGAAGACAACTATTAAGAGAAGATTTATTTTGAAACATTACAATTGTTTATTTCTCAATTTAATGAGAAAGGATAATCAAAACTTTTTTTTTTGATAAAATAGGGAAAAAGAATCAGTACTTTCGAAAATGGAAGTAATATAAATGATAATTAAAGTAATACTGTATGTTGTCAATAGTTATCTAATGATGATAATCTGGACAGGATTGATTTCGCAGTTATACCTATATACTCAAAAAATTTATTTCTATATATATAGAAGATAGGAACCTGCACGGAGTAATTTTCGGAGTCAAGTAAATTTCATGTTAATAATTCAACTCTAACGTTAGAAATTATTTAAGTTCATAGTTTTGTTGTCCGATATTTTCTCTAAAAAATTACGTATTTTGAAGGATCGGCAGACGTCTTATCGAGTCTTACAAACCAAAATACAGAAAAAATCGGTGTCGAAAGTAACTCCGATTTTCTTTTGCGTTGGTGAGGTTCAACAAAGCATCGATCTATCCTTCAAAAGACATAATTTTCTAAAGAAAATGTCGGACAGCAAAACTATGAACTTAAATAATTTCTAACGTTAAAGTTGAATTATTAACATGAAACTTACTTGACTCCGTGCAGGTCTCTAATAGAAGAGTATCAAAATATTAAACGACGATCTAGACAGCTCTTAGATTTACTTCTAGAAATAAGTAATCACATGAATCTCTATTTGAAATATTAAATTAGATGAAAATCTTATCTAATTTGATGACTGATGAATACCGATCTTGTTATTCAATCGTATACAGGTGTCATGAATATATGTATATATATCGAAAAATGATTCGCTGATCAAGAAATTGTCTAGAATCTAAAGAGACGAACTGAACAGATAACAGACAAAATTATTTCTATTTAACTGTATATTTCGTTGAAATCTGTATGTAGCATCCACATTCTTTTCTTATTTACATATATATATATATGAATGTTTATTATTGATGCTTAGTTTGATTGCGTCATAGTTGTAAAATTATTTATACAAATGTTGCCGGCAACTTCAGCGTATGCTTTATGTAAAGAGAAAAGATTATATAGGATAGAATTAACAAAAACTTTATCATTCTCTGCTCTCTTAATAAAATCGAAGTATTGTATCTTCAATATCTTTTCACAATTATGCTCATATTTGAAGGTGTATTCATAGTTGTTTGATCTTTCGATTATCTTTATTGACACATCAATCGATTTCGAATGCTCGAATTTGATCTTGAGATCAGTCATTTTTAATCATGCGATAAAAGGGAAAGATTACAAATATTGTTCAGAAAAATCCAAACTCGACGGAGATGTAGGATACTTCTATGAATTCTTATGTACGTCAAGTAGCCCTTCAATAACTGTATAAATACTCAGCATAGTCTATTAAACTATTCAATCTTCAACTCTATATACTATTTATAAATCTTTTCATGCTACATATATTATACATCTACTATACCAGACAAAGATAACTTTCGAAAAAAATCATGAATAGAAAAATGAATGACATTAAGTATTAGATATAATAAAGAAAACTGACATAACCTTGAAAATTTGTTTATAAACTACTTATAATTTTCACATATGATTTTTTCGTCTTCTCTTTACGCAATTTAATATTTGTCTGTATTGATTTTTTTTGCGACGAATTACTTAAGAATCCATCAATACATAAACGAAATTTATGCTTCATTAATTCAGTTTTCATATGTTCGATCAGACGATGAATTATAATCAAACTTTCAGACTTCTCAAAACTAAAATCCGCTGTTGATATTACATATTATGTAAATATTTTTGTTTCGTTCGAAATCAAAAAAGAAACATTATAATTTTATTTCAATTCTTCCAAAAAAGTACATATTATATTCATGATAAAATACACTTATATTTTCTACGTCGTTTTAATTTCGGATGTTTTCCTAAACCAGCTCGTATAGCAATATCGAAAACTTGTGTTAAATTTGTTTGTGTTAATGCTGAACATTCAACATAAGCAGTTGCACCAATTTCTTCTGCCATTATTAAACCTTTTTGTGTAATAACTGGAGTTAATTTTCTATTCTATAATGAATTTTAAAAAAATATAAATTTTAAATAATATTCTTTTTACTAAAAGATTTTTTATTGTTTGTTTATCATTGAGTAAATCAATTTTTGTACCAACAAGAACAATAGGTGTATCAGGACTATTATGTTTTATTTCTGGTGACCATTTTGCTCGAACATTTTCAAATGATACAGGATTAACTACACTATAACAAATAAGAAAGACATCCGTTTGAGGATAAGATAATGGACGAAGACGATCATAATCTAAAGATAGAAATTATTCTTTGCCATCAAAACAAAAATAAAATAACCTTCTTGACCAGCCTAAAATAAGACAGCAAGAGAATAATCATATTGAATAGACATAAGATAGAATTACCGTATCCCATAAACCAAGATTAACTGGTTCATTATCAACAATTATATTTGCTGAGTAATTATCAAATCTATTAGAAAACAAAATTTACATGTCCTAAAGAATTTTTACAATTATTTAACTCACACTGTTGGGATATATTCACCCGGACTAGTAATAAAAAGAAGAATTATAATTTCTATTAGTATGATATAAAAGAATACTTACAAAGCATTTGTAGTATATGACATGAGCAAACAAGTTTTGCCTACAGCACCATCTCCTACTACAACACATTTGACATTTTTATAGATACTCATTTGTTCGATAGTAAGAGAATCGTTTAAAATATTCACACACTATTTTAAATACAAGCATATAAAATTATTACTCTCTAATATTTACATAACAATATTCAAAGAAAAAAGAAAAGAAGTATACATACGTACAAATGTATGTGTATATCTGTAGTTTATTCTACGCGTTCTTTTATCGAGAGAAGAAAGAGTTCATAGCTGCGTGAGTCGTTCGTCTATCAACGAACATAAGTAATGCACGATCATTTAAGTGCTGGTAAATGCTTGTTTCACAGTAAGATCTACATACATATTAAACATGTATTTTTTTCTCTCGTTCTTATATACAATTTTCTTTTTTTTTTCTTTTTCTCTCATCTCGTGATCCGTCTATTAGAAGACAGATGAACATAAACTAATCACACTGATATATCCGAGTTAATTAAAAAATGATTTCTTAATGCAAGATAATATTTATTGGTAAATAAATCCTCCTACTATAGATTTCAGTCTATGTAGTATAAAATATGATAATCAAAGATTAAAAATGACTAATCTTTTTTTTCAAATTATTCATGAATGCCTTATCAGTTTTTTTGTTTCAATTAGTCATCATTTTGTTTGCGCAAAAACTTCTTTTTTATCTTTGACATTCTGCTTATATATATATACTGATAAAACAACTCCGTCACTAAGTATTCTTATCATTATTTCTATTTTGACGTAAAAGAAATATGCAAGGACATCGTCTGATCCTTTTTACTTTATTCATTACAGTTATTCATGCAACCAAAATCAATTTTTTTGATGCTTATCAAGAAATAGTATTGGTTGGCAACCAATCTTTTATTGAAGCTAATTTAATTCAGTAAGTAAATTATTATTTTTCTTCTTTGTTTTATCTTTTGAATATTTACAGATTATGGGTTGATGTAACAGAATGTGCACCAACACCATGTTCATGTTATGTAGAAGTTAATGGATCAACGGGTGATCGACATCATATAGGTTTTTTAGACGGAAAACCTAATAAAGGATATGCTGATATTACGAATCTTCAACCGGATACACTATATTCATTTAAACTACAATGCACAGGAACTGATCAGACTGAAACACGTAACATAAAAACAGATTATGGTCGTCCATCACCACCAAGCGATATTACATTTACACTGAATTCTAAACGCCTACAATTATCATGGTCACGTCCATTGTCTCCAGCTGGACCAATTCATAAATATAGATTAACTATTAATACGGATCCAACTATTGATAATTTACCGCATGATAAATTATCATATGATATTACAGAAAACTATGTTGATGGAACAGAGTATAAAATTGTATTAGTAGCCTGTAATGTAAATAACAAAAATGAAGCAGTATGCTCCGATGCAAATCAAGGACAGGCTACTTTCATTATGGGATCAACAACAACACCACCTGCAGGTCAAACAACTACACCAACAGTACCTGCTGGTGGAACAACTACACCAACAGTACCTGCTGGTGAAACAACTACAAAACCAAACTCGTCCAACATTCCATCTTGTTCTGTCGCTTTTTTACTTTTTGTTTTCTTCTTTCTCGTTAACAATCAAGTAACATATTGAAGTAATTCACATAAACTTTATTTTTTATGTAAAATACATTTATATTTATAAAAAATCTAGGAAAAAAACAAAAGTATTTTATTAAAATTAAAAAATTAAATTCCTCGTATGTAATCGGCTGAATAACTTCTAGGAAAAAATAGAATAATCCGTTACAAAACATACAAGAACTTTGATATATAGTTTCTCTCATTGTAGATATATTAATCATTCTGTATAACACCGTATTCATCAATATGCTTTATATTATATTAATACTTAGACATTTGTTTCTGATGTTGTATTTGATTAGTAAGATATAAACAATCGAACATCTGTTAAAGTTTATCTAGATATCGATTATATGAAACTGACAATGATAAATACTAAAACTAATAATTATTAATTAATTATTACGTTAAAGAACATACAGCTGTTCTATATTCTCACTGTTACTTAAAATAACGTGGAACTCAATTGATATGCGTAATATTCTTTTTATTACCGACAGATTTGCCTCGTAAAAAATAAATAGATCAATCAATATAAGAAAAGTTTATTTTTCTATAGAAATGTCTCGTTTTTTTTGTTCGTATCACTTATAAAAACAGCCTATAACTAGGTCAATTTGTACAATAAATTTGTTTTTTTTTTTGAATGTTTTTATCAAAATGCATTCTGCAAGTAATAACAAGTGTATGATGTGTCATGTAGGTCAGGCCTTTGGAAAAAAAACAAGAGAAAAGAGAAAAAGAAGAAGAAAGAAAAAGATACACTTTTGCATTGTTTCAGTCAGGAAAAGAAAAACGTAAGGACTACAAACAAACGCACAGCAAGTAATATATGTATATTGAAATCATTCATTGTTTTTATCTAAACTTAGTTGATCGAGTCGTTTCCATAGATTTGTTCGATCTTGTTCTTTAATTATAGATCTATTTAAATATAAATAAAAAAACTAAATTTTTTGTTATTTTATTTTTTTTCATTTCATTTACTTTTGTTCATCATCTCGTAATGTATTTAGTACATCATCACATAATTTTTTATTAATATCCATTAAATTTTTTAATAAATTGTATGTTAATGTTATTATATTTGTATTCCAATGTGTTTTAGATATTCGACATAAAGGTGGTAGAAGAATAGGTAAAATTTGTTCTAAATTCTCTTCAATTAATTGCACAACATACTCATTCGACCATAAAGCTAATGATCGTTCAGCTACCTAAGAGAAATAGAAAATAAATGAAAGATATAGATTAATCAGAAAAAAACAATTCTCAATGGTATCTATACAGGTGATTTAGGTAACACGTTTTTATTAAAAATAGTATGTGTTTAATTAACTAAGAATATATGATGGACTTATCGGGCATGCCAAACTGATTCAATATCATTCGTCAACTTTTCTACCTGAGTTTATACTGAACTGACGACAAAAAATATTTTAAAAGTTTCAATTAAAATAAATATACGAGTTTTTCGTCAGTGGCTATGAATCGAATGTGAGATTAAGATTATCATCAATAGTGTCAAGGAGATACGCACGGTATGATAATAATCATTGACAAAACGATTTAGATCTAAAATCTGATCTGTAATGTCGCAAACCCGTGCGTGAAGGACAAGGCCTCTGAATCATTTGCCAGAAAAAATAGATGAGAACTTAGGGGTGAACTCTAAATTATTTTTTTCAATATTAAGTTACAAAACGTTATTTACATATTGATACTAAAGTATCTGTTATTTCTCTATCGTTTGTAACAACTTTTAATTAGTTTAATATTATTAAGAAAAATGATTTTCCAAAATCAATCAATAACTATACTTGAAAATGTGATGATGTAGCTGTTCGTGAGATTTGTTTGAAAAGTATTGTGCAAATATTTTTAAATATTTGTGAATCGATTATATCGAGAATTTCTTCAAGTTCATTGAGAAATAAAACCTAAGAAAAAGTTTTTTTTTATTATATATATATGCAAAGTACACTTCAATTGTATACTTCTTTTGTTGAGCAAGTTTTCGGCCAGAATTTAATTAGACCTTTTATAATTGGTTCACCAAGCGCTGGATCTTTTTCAATAAATTGTACAACACAATAAGTTAACTAAAAATACAAAATATATTATTTAAAAACAAAAAAAGAAAAGAATTTACTTGTGGATGAAAAAAATTCAATGAATGTGCTTTATGTAACGGCAGAAGAACACGTTCGAGAAATACTTTATGTTCTTCTTTAAGTGGTACAGCAAAACCATTGATAATACTAAATATATATATGGAGAAATTCTTCAAGAAAACAAAAATGAATAAATACCTTCCAAGTATTTCAAGTAGTTCAGCAATCCCATTGAATCGTTCGTATTCATAAATATATCTTTAAAAACAAATGAAAATACATTTTTTAGAATCAATACACGAAAAAATTCTTCTTGTTAGAGTTTCCTAAATAAGGTTGGTAGAAGCTAATTAAACTGATGAATTTCAATGGAACAAATGTTTATTTACAAATTCTAGGACATTATATAACTATTTATAGTAATGGAGAATATACAAAAATAAGGGGAAGCTAACTAAGGTCAAAAGTCATGATGACAACTATAGATTAACATACTCAAAAGTTCAATCAGCTATATATATATATATATAGAACTTGTAATGGATTTTATCTAGAATATATATATATGTTAGACTCCTTATAATTACCAATCAAATACAATCTTTAGGGAATCGTAAATGATTCTATCACTCAGATTGCAATGAAATCATATAAGATACTATCGAATATCATCCATGTTCTAATGAAATCCAATAAGATTCAACTATCTGATCGATCGTCTTTAGTATAAGGATATAAATACATTTGACAGATAGATTTCTGCTTCAATACACTCGCGTTTTTCTTGTAACATTTTTATTAATTAACTTTATATTCTTTTCATTTCCAATATTTATTAAAAGGATCGTACAATGTCACCATTTGTAATCCATTAAAAAAACATGACTCTAGGGTATTGACTTGTATATTAATAGAAATCATCAAGACCTTCCTAACCATTTCATGCCGATGCATAGTATTATTAACAGAACTACTGCACATGTCAGAAACATATATATATTCAAAAACAAAATCCTGTCTTAGAAACTTATTAGTAAAAACATATGTAATAAGAATACCTGAGAAAGATATTATTTATTTGTTTTCGAATAAATGCTCGTAAACCGAGAAATTTTCCATAAATACGATGAAGAATTGTTTTTAAAAAATCTCGTTCACGTGGATCTTCACTATCAAATAATTCAAGTAACTAAAATCATATTAAGTAAAAAGAAAATTTCTTAGTATGTTTTTTTTTTGTTTTCAATTAAATTTACTTGTAAGACAAATTTTTGATCGATATATTTTTTTGCTATACTCGGTTGAAAATCAAGAGATTCCAAAAAACGTAAAAAAAATTCATAGACTATTTGTGTATGTGGCCACGATGCTTCTAAAGTTGGTTCTTCATCTTCACCACCTGTTTCATCTGATGTACTACTATCAGAACCAAGTGGTGGTAAAATACGAAATAAATTTATTGATACCTTAATATAAAAAAAAAACTTTTATTTTTGAAAAATACATCAATTATAAATAATATCTTACCATTGTTATTACTTCAGGATAAATATTTTCTGTTAAACAATTTCTTGTCACTGTTATATAATCAACAATTTCATTGAGACATGCGCGTTTGATTTCTTTACTCTTTAGATCGCTTACACAATCAGAAAAATCAAATATAACGCAACATTGTTTTAATTTAGCAGCAAATAATTTTTCTTGTTGATCAGCAGGAGTTTCTACGAAATAGAAAAAAAAAACAAAATCAAATCATGTGTTTTTGTTTTTGTAGATTTTTGCTATTCAACGAAAAATCTACCTTTTAATAATGGTAAAGCTTCAAGTTCAGGATGAAAGTTTCTTTGTCCAAGACGTGATGATTCTTGTAAACGTCTTTTACGTGTTCGAATAGGTTGTTTCTTATAAAAAGGATCATTTTCTGGTAGATTTAAATTGAAGGACATCTTATTACATTGATGTTTCTAAAAAAGAAAAACATGAACAAAATACAAAGAATAAATTCACATTCGTATCTACCAAACATCACTGTATAGAACAGCAATAGCTTATTGCCTATTCACGTAGTTGTCAAGATGTAAACCAATACAAAATTCTTTTCTAGATGTCGTCTAATGTTTATTCAATAATTTTTTCTTAGTGACCAAAAACAAAACAATCAGATTGATTATTAAAATAATCAGTTTGATGTTTATCTAATCAAAGATCATATTTCAATATATATTATATAGTTAATCGATTGATTGACATAGAAAAACATTGACAGAAACGACAAAGAATACATACAATTAAAAAACTTATCTTATTATATTCAATTAGAAAAATAAAATATGTTTTGACATATTTTATAAATAAAAAACTACTTTAATCATAATTAGTTTTGTATTCAGTCTGTTGAAAAAAGAAATATTGAGTATGTCATAATAGAAACAGAAAAAAGAACTCATCAGAACAATAGTGCATCCATTATATTGATTAAAAAACAAGGTTCATCCATTAGATATACACTATAGTAAATTAATATGCTTTAACATAAATAACAAAACTTATTTGTTGCAAGTAATATATTGTTTTTATTTTAATTTGATTGAAGAAAATAATACAGAAAAAAAGAAAAATATCTAGTATAATAAGAAGAGAGGAAAAAAAATTCTATTTGACATTTTCTATATACAAAAAAAAAATAATTTTATCAATTGATAGACAAGTACTGTATCGAATGAAATGATCTTTATCGGAAGAAAATAAACAATAAATTGACCATAGGTCAAAAATAATAAATTCCAAACGAAATTAAACTTATTAGAAATGTTCTACTTGAAATGTCCATGTTCCTGTATAAACATCATAATCAATAAATTGTCCTTGAAATTTTTTTGTCATTCCTTCTAAATATTTGCCATAATTCATTTCAATTAATCGATTAGGATCTGTTACTTCTTCACCACCATTTGATATTGAACGATCAATTGGATAAACACCTAATAAAGATATTATAGCTTGACAATTTAATCCTTCACCTTCATTTGGTCTATCTTTCTCATCTGGATAGACTGTAACTTGACGACGATCAATTTCAACTAAAATAAAATAAAATATTATTAGTATACAACATAGCATTAGAGTTAAAAGGTCAAGTGAAGTGTGCTCCAAATTTGAAGTTTACGAAAACTCTACCTGAAAACTGTAATCATCTGTTTTTGATTGCTCTAATAGATACTCTGAACTGTATGAAGTTGATTGGTGATGCTCAAGAAAAAAGCCTGCAGTTACAAGCTACAATTTGCCGAAGAACTTGAAACTCACTTAACTTGCCGGAGTTAAAATGGGTTAACAATGTGAAATGGCGAATTATTTTTCTAGATATTCATATTAGTTTAGAATATGGGATTCTCTTTGACTATATTTTTTTATTTTCTTACCTAATCGATCAAGATCAAGACCAGCCAGATTCATATTTAAACCTTGAAATGTAACAGAACCATAATGTTTTCTACCAACAGTAAATTTCTTAACAAAACATTCGCCTTGTTCATTAAAATATGAACGTAATTCTTCAATTGTTGGTTTTGTATAATAATCATTATGTGTTAATTTAGGTAAATGAAATGATTGTTGATCTGATGTTTTTGATGATATATATTCATCATAGGTTGAAAATTTTTTCCATCCGATAAGGTTTTCTGTTGTTGTTGATGTTTTCATAGTGAATGTTTCATTAATTGTTTCATTATTTCCAAGAACAACAGAACGAATTTTACTCATATCAAGCATTCGTGGACGTTTTATATTGATTTTAGATATTTTATTATTTGATGATGATGGACCATCATCCGTAATTAATAAATATTTTTCATCATTATCATCAAGTAATGAATCAGCTAATTTTCGTTTGTTTGATTGTAAAAATGAATGAGTATCTGATTGTGTTGTTAATGTATTATTTAATAATAATGGAGTAACTGATCGAACAGATGGTTTATTAAGAACTGATAAAAATAGATTGTTTTTTGAACGAATTGATGATGAATCAGATTCAGTACGAAGATGAGATCGATCAACTCTGACATTTGACTAAAACAAAAAATTTAAAATCAATTATATGTCAACAAAATTTCTTCAAGGTGTTTATAGATTTTCGTTTGATACTTACTTTTATATTTCGTGCAAGAAAAGTTGGTTCATTACTGAATGGTTGTGTATTAAGCATTGTTTGAAATAATTTCAGGTCAACAGAAGACGTAGTTGATTGATTCATTGTTGAATATAAAACGGCTATTAATAAAGAACAAAAAAAATGAAATTTTTCTTTCTTTTATACACGATTTAAATTGTGTAAGAACTTACGAGTAGTAGTTGTTGTCGTCGTTGTTATTGCTGATTTTGATGATGAAAATGTGAAAGGTGTGTCTGTGGTTGTTGTGGTTGGGAAAAATGATGTCGAATTACCTGTAAGAAATGAGTCATATAAGATAGAATAAGTCAAAAAGAAAATTACCCAGTGTGGAGGTTGTTGAAGGTTGACTACTACTAAATGAAAATGTCTAAATAATAAACATAAATTAGTAGAAAAACTATTATTTTTTATAGATACCATCGCTGTAGTCGTAGACGGTTTTTTATCAAATAAAAATGGACCTAATGTTACATTTTCAGTTGTCGTTGCGACAGGAGATGATAATGAAAATTTTTGACTATTCGTTTTGTCTTCAGTAAAAAGTTCCTAAATTCAAAAATGATTTGTAACTAGATCAAATTTATTCTTTCGATCCTATACTTTTGATTGATTAGATCCTTGCACGGTATTTTTACCTATACCACTAACAGCTGGTTCATACTTTTGAAATGTCGTAGTATCAAGTGATGATGATTGAAGATTTGTTGTTGGTCCTAACGGGAAAGAAAAAGAAGGGAGATAAAACTTTACTAGTTATCAACAAGACATCTTGACATCAAAATATGTCGTTTGATTGATATCAATCATTCAAAAGCATTTGATAACAGTCAACTATTCTGTATACTAAATGAAATTCAATGATGTAATGAGATGCACATTAAACAAGGGTAGGTGTACTTATTTTTGTGTGTGACATTATTCGATCTGAGCTACATTGAATGTTTGGAAAGTGTAACACATTGTTACCATGAAATCAAACTTTCATCTTTTATATACTCATTTTCGTTATGAACATTGACTGATCATACATAACTTTTGCTCAAAAAGAAAGAGTTACTAAAAATACAGGACAAAACAATTGAATCATTCAACTGTATAAACTACAGCTCAACGACCGGACTTAATTGAAGTAAGGTATTAACTAAATATAGCTTATCCTTCTTTCGAATTTCTTCAGATGGTTGGATCTAATCTATATTGAAATCAATCGTCTGTATAGTTCAATTAAAAATAATTGACTTACCATTTGTTTTTCCTCGTACATTAACGCATTCTATTCTTTGTTTTATGATTTATAACAAGTAAAAATCATAATTACTTTTATCACACATAACTGTCATTACTAAGATGATTTCTTTGTCGATTTTGTTAAACTGAGATCCTTTGCTCGAATACTAGATCCAACAGTGATCATTATATATTTTATTGAATTTATAAAAAACAACAACATTCTATCGTTACTTTTATTCTCTATCGCGCATTTGTGGGCTTTCATCATAGAACATACTGCTGACAACTGTTTGCCTTTTTATTCTACGGTCTCATTAAATAACAAAACAAATAAACATAGTCATTGAAAATAAGTATCTCAATTCGTAAACATGTCCAATTATAAGTAAGACCATAATTTTTACGAAAAACTCAGCGTCCATAGATCGATAATACTTATAATATTACAGTTAACGATTTGCTGGAAATGATATATTTATATTAGAATTTGTCGTAAGTTATTTTTACCAAATAGATTTGATGATGATAATGATGTTGAAAATGGTATTGCCGTTGTATTACGAAACAAAAAACTATTTCCTGTTTGAGCATGATTTACAGGTGTCGATTGTCCGAAAGGACTCGTTTTGTTCATAGTTGTTGAACCAAAATTAAACATAATAAACAATGAAAAAAAAAATCTGAAAAGAATTTATTTGTTCAAGTGTGCTTATAGAAAGAACAATGAAAAAGCGACAAAAGAGTTCTAAATCTAATATTTTCTTTGATGTTATACAAAAACATAAAGCTAGGCCTTTTCTTCTATTATACTGTTCATGTGAGGTAGACAAAACAAAAACAAAAAGATATATTTTATATATATAAATATCAATAAATATACACAAGAAGAAGAAAAAGAAAAGCATGCGATAGTTCATTCATTATGTCAAGCTATCTGACAGCTTGTTTGATGAATAAATAAGTTTTGTTTTGGTCTATTCATGTTTTGACTAGGATAACAGGCGATAAGTATACACACAGTAATGTCTATTATGCTTTTATGTTTAACAACTGGGATAGTGTGAGCCGTATGTGTGTAAAAACGACAAAATACAAAACGAAAGAAAAACAAAAATGAAATAATATGAATATTTAAAAACGGCCAGATTCTATTTGTTGTGAAGATGTAGGAAGTGTTTGAGGATCAATACGAAGATATGAAGATGGAACAAAACCACTTGAACCATCAAGTTTTTGTATACGTGTCCAACCATCACCATGATCATCTTCTAATATATCAACACACTCACCAGTACACATTGATGCTGCATTTACATATTGACAACCATTGTTACCATGTCCTAGAATAGTTTCAACTTTTATTAAGTAATCTCAAAAGCTACTTTTTTTGTTAGATGTTTAATCAGATAAGAACAGCAACACCAGTTGCTATAACTTTAATCTTCACTAGACTTTAGAGTATGTTCATGTTTTTTTCTTACCATTAAAATCATAAAGTGCATAAGCTTTCATATAATTTCCTTGATTTGATTGTTCTTGACATTGACTATCTGTCTGATCGATATCCGCATCTTCATCTTCAAATGAACCATTCGATTCACGAGTTGGTGTATCAATTTGTTGTACTGTCGTTGATGTAAGTGATGGTAAATAATGAAATTCATTCGCTTGTTCATAGATACCATTTCCATTCTGTTCCGGTATATCGGATGAACTAAAACGAAATAATTTAATTAATAGAACAGGAAGAACATTAATCTTGATGATAAATATAAATAGAATTTAGTGCATCTATTTTTCATTTTGACATGCTTTTATCGGATGAAGAAAGTAGTGTCCGATAGACAAAAAAAAAAAGAATTAAGAAGATGATTTTTTTTCCTAACCAAACCGTGGTCGACCAACGCCGATTGATATTCATAAATTTATAATATCGTTGACGAAAATAAAGTGAACTACACACAAATCTATATGACAAACTTGATATTGTTTGTTTTATTTTACCTTCGATTTTGTGATGATACTTCAAGATTTTGAGTACTTATAGATTGATCAGAATCATATATAGAATGTGAATATGATAAATCAATATCCGATGCTGTTGGTATTTTTGTTCGTTCGATTTCTGAGATATAAGACTAGAAAAAAAGAATTTATAAAAAATATTTCGATTATTTAATAAAATTTCAATTACTTCAAATCGTTTTATCTCAGCTAATAATTTATCAATATTGTCATCAATAGTTAAAATTTGTTGTGATACATCTTGTTCATCACCAAATTTTGGATTTTCTTTAAAAACAAGTTTCATTTTCATTAAACCTTCTCTAGAATATATTATAAATATAAAATAAATTTTCAGTTTTTTTCCGCTAGTATAATTTTCATACTTGGCTTTTTGTTTTTTTTCTAATTCATTTTTACAATTAAGAATTTGTTCTTGAAATTTTCGTAAACGTTGAGCAGGAGGTAAATTATTGTATGGTGCATTAATTGTGACAATACTAGCATTGTTAGGATTGCAAGCCTTAAAACAAATATTAGACATAGAGGAAATTCAAAACAAACAGAAATTGAAATATTATAGTTCGAATTTTCAAGACTAGAGAACAAATACTTCATTGTAAGAAGTCTAGAACTTATGTTGTTTTCTTTGCTCACACCTCTTGCGGCGGTAAAATAGATGGTATTTCATATTTACATATCGATTTCTTCATAATAGGAACGGTGAATGTAAAAAGAAAGTATACCATTTTGAAGTTCGAGTTGTAGTGTATTAAATAAATCTAATGGTTTTATATTCATAATGATATATTTCAAATACTCGATCGTATACAATAAAGTACTTGCAAATATTAGCTTTCAATGTTTTTCTTTTTAGATAAAAGTTATTTTACAAGGATTTTATGTGAAATAGTTTTAAATCAAAAGAAAGTTAAGTTTGAAAAGATCATCCTATACATTCAGCTAACTTTTACGATAAATCTATTTATATTGAATCGATCTAGGTAAATTCAATTTGTGGTACACTTTCAGTCAAATTTTCTACCATTAAAAAGTTACATCTATTCGCATCCTTCTTAAGAAATTGTGTATATACTATAAAACAATTACTTTTCTTTGTGATGAACTTCCAAATAATTTTCTAATCGTACTAGCCGCTCCACTAGTTTTTCTTGAATTAATTCCTGGTGTTCCTGTTACTAATGTTTGTGTTCCATTAATATGATTGCTAGGTGCATATATAGTTGCTATACCATTTTGAGTATTATAATCACTATTAGTACTTCTCAATGTATTCGAACGATTGAATTCTTTATAAATTTGTTGATCAGCTCCATTATATAATAACGATGGATAATTATCTGCATTCAGATCAATCTAGCAAAAAATGCGAATAAAATACAAGATATTTCTATTGAAATATTCCCTACCACTTTCTGATCATCCGGTATAGCATAGCCCGATTGATATTCATTGATAACAACTTGTGCATCTGTATAAGAATTTAATTGTTCAGTTTGTTTAGTCATTTCATCTAAACATCTTTGTATACGTGGTAAAACTTCCACATGAGATTGAATAAAAGTAAAATAAATAGTTTTAATTTCATTGGAACGTTTCCCATCTAATTGTTGTAAATCACATAAAATATTTGGTAATTGTCTTTCATAGAATAAACGTTGAGTATCATTATATAGAGATACTTGTGAAGAATAATTTGTATGTGCATCTTCACTTATTTTAGTTTTTAATGTCATTGTATCACGTGTTTTTTCTAATTGTGCACGAGATAAATCCAGATCTTCATGCGCTTTCTCATAACTTTCTTTTGCACGACGTGCAGATTCATGACATTCTTCATATTTTCTTAAAGACTAAAATATAGAACATTAATTTATGACTTATTCACACACATGAAAAGTGTAGTCAAATTTAATTGTATATCAAATTCAATAGTACTCTGTCTTTCCTCCTGTTTATATTAACAATTTTACAATAAATCAAAATGAATGTAATATGATCAACTGATAAAGATTTTTATGAACTTTTAACTTCATATAAAGTTCGTGTAAGAAAGATAATGTACTTTTATAAATATTACTGTCTATCTAAATAGACATTAGAATAAAAAGAGATCTGATATTTTCACATACTTTAATCAATAATTCATGTTGTTTATCCAATTGACGTTTAATTTTCGTATATTCATCTAAACATTTTTTACGTTGTTCTCGACATTCTTTAATTGTTATTTGAATTTGTTTTATTGAACGTTCACGTAAATTTTCTGCAATTATTTCATGTTGTGATGCTATATCTTGTAATTCTTTTAATGTCGAACAAAAAGTAGCAGTATATGAATATCTATTGAATGACAAAAGAAAAAGAACAAAATTTTTCAATTTGTTTTTTTTTCTGGTAAATTATAGAAATTACTTATTATAGAATTCTTCTTGTTCTTTTAATTTTGGTGAATACGTTTTAGTTAATTTTTTTAAAGCTTTTGCATAATCATCTTCAATAGTTGAGCGATCTTTAAGAAATGATTCGTATTTTTCACAAAATTGAATACTTTTTTCTGTATATTTTGTAACATTATCAAATTGATCCTATTAGTAGATAAAATATTAGAATAAAAAACAAAAAGAGTAAATAATAAAATACAAACCCAAAGTTCAATACCCCAACTTCGGTTAATCATTCTCTGTCGTTTATTTCTTTGAACTTCGCTTACACAATCATCTAGAAAAATAAATATCAATACAATCTTATTATGTCTACCTGTGATATAGAAGATATATCGCGTTCATCCCTGGTGGTGGTGATGTGGTAAGCATTAGTCGGCGAAAGAATAGAAAAGAAAATGAGTACTACATGATTTGCTCTCGTTAATGACAAGAAATCACGTAACAACTGCTGACCCTACTAGCGATAAATTACTTTTCTACCATTACTTACCAATCATATGAATCTCATTAATCAATCAAAAAAGAAAAGAACTATTTGATTTTCTGTTCATAGTAATAAATATAAAGTCTTTTCTTTGATGAAGATGTCTTAGACAAGTATGTTTGATAGCTGAACTATATATTAAAAAAAAAGAAAAACGGGGGAATAAGAAAAAGGAAGATAACGGTCAAAATGAAGGTTAAACATGATGTCGGTGACAGTGGACAGAGCGTGAGACGATGGGAACAAATAAGACATCGATGTTATTACAACTACGTTAAATAAACAATATTTTGTCGAAGACAATAGGAAACAAGACAGACACTATAAGGTGATAAAACTTTGCACGTCATTAGACAGTCGAGACAAATGATGTGATGTATAACTTAGTTTTAATCACTTATAAAACAACAACATCAACATATTCAACAACAAAGAAAACCGTAAAAGAAATAAAATTAAAGTACTTCACTTTTTATTATTATTATTTTGACAAGGACAACCATACAGAAGAAGAAGACGAAGAAGAAGAAAAAAAACATGCATGTGTGTTTTATTATATACATTCCTTTTTCAAATGAATGAATGAATCTATATCTTTCTGTTTTTTTTTTATATCAGGAAATTTAATATGTAACAATTTGATTTGTCAAATGAGAAGAAAAGGGAAAAAAATCCTTGAATCTGACTGCGTTCGACCCTTCAGGATAAATTGAGTTTTAAAACAATAGAAAGAACAAATAAAAAAAAAAAAAAAGTAAATGGATCTTCTTTTTTTCTTTCGTTCTTTCTTCTGTTTCAAACAACACACATTAGTTCAATATAGAATGACTCATCGTATTCATTTCATCGCCATACTAATTGAACATTAGTCTTTTTAATAGCACTATAACGGCATCTATGTTATTTAATAAAAATCGCCATTTATCAAAAAAAAAACAAATACTTTTCACAAATAACCAAATGTATTATATACATAGTTAAAATTAATTGAAATTAAAAGATAATGTCTGATGAACCGTGTATTATAAAATTTCAAAGCGAAACAAAGGATAATCTCATAATGAATGAATAAAATATTATCTGTTTGATTTTGAATATAATTCAATTGTTATCATGATGTATATTAGAAGAATTCATTTATACTCTTATTTCGTCAACCGGATAATATGCATAAAATCGAAAATATGAGAAATACGAAACTCTGCAATTTTGTATGTGGATAATGGTGGTTAAACATCACTCTTTTAGTATAATTGCTAAATTTTTAAATTGTAATACTAAAAATATGAGTCTAAAATTATCTGTTTAGTATTATAAAAAAAAAGGTTAAGAAAGTAACTAACAATCTTATCAAACGCTAGAAACATGAAAGATAAATCTGAGTATGACAGCATCGCAAATCATTTTGATTTTATATAGATAGTAATACAGTAGAGGGATCAGTAGTTACTTACAAATTCATTATGTTTTAGATTTTGTCTGTTATGGTTACCACTATGTTTTAGTGGATAATGTTCTAATCCTTTTTTTGTAACATCTTGAAAAATTCGAAAGATAAAACTAGCGATCAACTGTTATTTCTCTCACAATAGCTACTGCCTATTCATTTATTAAGTATATGTTTATTGTAGACATGCTATACTTAAGCATGTGCATGAATTAGGTAAATACTGTCTTAATTGATATAAAAATATATGATCGAAATAATTGATCATAATGTGTTGATATAGATTTATATGAATATTATATCGAGTATAAATCAGAAGATGAAAAAAAACCAGATGTGCATATCTGTTTTATATTCTGTCATTTTTTTTGTTGTTTTTTATCTATGATATGTGCTCATTGATGTATAACATAATAGCATATGACAGTTTGTCATCGAATATACTTTTATATTCTGTTTTCTTCTCTGCGTCTAGCTTGATGATTTTATTTAAGATAAAGACAATATAAGAACAGAAAAAATCGAAGCAAAGGATTAGAGAAATAAAGCATATTTGTTTTGATTGATACAAAGCAGACGAAGATTTGTTTTTATTTCGAATGATTATTTTATTATTTCACTAGAGAAACTTCAAAAGAAAAACATTTTTATCTAGGACTAAATAGAGAATAAGAAGCAAGTTGTGCAATTCAGAATATTCTTATCCTATACATAATTAAGCGATATAAGTGTTTAGAAAGATAAATTTTAAATATAAAAACACATAGCATGTGGAATAGCAGCAGGTGCAGGTTGAGATGAATATCCACCAAAGCTAGGTGTAGGTGCGGCAGGTGGAGATTGATATCCACCAAAGCTAGGTGTAGGTGCAGCAGGTGGAGATTGATATCCACCAAAGCTAGAGGTTGGTTGTTGAGAACCTCCATTGTACGGTCCACATCCACCACATCCACCTGAAAATGATGGAGTAGAACTTCCATAACTACCAGTATTGGCAGGTGCCCCACCAAATCCACCTGAAAATGATGGACCAGAAGCTCCATAGCTGCTAGTATTGGCAGGTGCTCCACCAAATCCACCTGAAAATGATGGGCCAGAACCTCCATAGCTACCAGTATTGGCAGGTGCTCCACCAAATCCACCTGAATATGACTGACTAGAAGCTCCATAGCTGCTAGTACTGGCAGGTGCTGCACCAAATCCACCTGAAAATGATGGACCAGAACCTCCATAGCTACCAGTATTAGCAGGTGCTACACCGAATCCACCAGAAACACCAACAGGTGTCTGGCCACCATATTGTTGATTACCGGCAGAAGCTTGTTGAACACTACCATAACTTCCTGCACTCAATAAGTTATTAGAGTAACCTCCATTAGCAGCAAAATTACCTCCTTGTTGAGCAGCACAACCTCGTGGTGGTACACGAATGCAACGTTTAGTCACTCGAGGTGGTCCAGCTGGTTCAACAACAGTTCGTTCTCGAACTATTGGTGGTGGTGTGCATGGAATTTCGGTAATTTCTTCAATAACTTCAGCAGCTACAGCTTTGATATAACTAAATTTCAACGTATTTATATGAAATTAAACTAAAAACATATTTCGCAAAACTTACACTCGTTCAAGTACATCAGGTTCTGGTGTTGGTAGGCGGCGTCGTATTTGTCGTACTTGTCCTTGATTTTGTTCAGGTAATCGAATGACTTGTTGTTGATGACGTGCTTGTCGTCGTTCACCACAAGGTTGAGCATCAACTTGAGCACAGTTTGGATTGTATGGTCCACCTGCAGCTCCTCCTTGAGCATAACTATTTGAAGCTGATTGTTGTTGATAGGAATTTCCACCATACGCTGCACCTGCAGCTCCTCCATGACTGTGGCCATGTCTAGATGCATGATGATGATGATGATGATAGGTACTGGAACTAGTACCAGCTGCAGTACCTGCACCATTAACTCTAAAATCTTGTACTGATGAAGTGCTTGAACTTGTTGATTCATCGCGTTGACGACGACGATGATGTCTTGGAGCAGCAACAGCAGCTGCACTATTTGGAGTTTGAACAACGCTTGCTGTTTGATGTGTTACTGTAGATTTAGTCACATTCGTACCAACGGACTGACCACCAGTTAAAGTAGAACTAAGAACACTTTCAGGTGTTGCTCGTTGATTATAAGGTCCACTCATTTTGTGATTGATTTATATAATTAATTTGATTCTATACAAGAAGATAAAACTTATTTTTGATAATCGTATTTACAAAAACAGAGCGAAGAATATCTTATAAAGAATAAATAACTAAAATAAGACATATATATATACCTGATACTTGTTAAGCACTTGTGGTTAATGTGATTGTACAATAATTGATGAATGCGCAATTTCAACTATTGAAGACTAACAAAAAAAATAAGGAGAGTCAGAGAAAAACAGAAGTTCGAGGCCATATTTTTTTACAAAGAGGGGAGAGAGAAAGAGAATAATAGCTAAAAGCCGATATTCTGTGACTAGTCAAGGAGAACAAAGTGTATAAGCAGAAAAATATTGCCTACCGCCGAGCTACATACATCTGTATGTGTGTTTTTGTGGTTTAATAGCGATATATTTTACCAGTCATATGACGAGAAAAAAGAATACCAAAAAAAATATTATTCGACTGATTGGGATGATACGTTATTAAACTATGGATACTTGACAATTTACTGCTAGAAATTATGTATATTTCAAATATGTGAATAGGTGATTAATTATAAGCAAAAAAATGATTTTTTTCCTCCTATCTACCCACAAAATAGATTAATTATTATCGAATCATTACATTTGATACGGTCGTTACGACCAAATTTAACATGAAGAAAATATTTTACTAAATAGTAAATATTATCAAAATAAAATGAATTTGTACTACGCATGTAAATTATTTAAAAATAATTATTTATAAACAAAGTTACATATAGTTAATATAAATTATTTAAGCATTAAAATTTAATAAATAAGGGATTTTTATATTTTTTTAATAGCGTATTATTGAATAGATATAATTTTTGTTACGAGTAGACACAGGATATCTCGATATTATAAATAGTTTGTCAGTTGGCAATATAAATTTATAAGTAATTAAACATTTGACTATTAATATTTCATAAGATTTTGTCCATATATGTTCTAAAACTATACCATTGCCATCTATCGATAATATAATGAAAGCATATATATAAAAGCAAAAGACTTTTTATTCGTTCTTTACAATAACCATTATTAATGATAGATTGTCTCGTAAAAAAGAACATTTGATTTAAACTTTGAAAACATAAATACATAATTTTTCTCTTCACGAAATTAATAATATATATTTTTTAGATATTAAAATATTATTGTCAAATAAATCAACAAACTGTTGTGAATAGTTTTATTTATATTATTCAAACAAACATGTATTCAGATATAAATGATGTCTGATAATGGCTGATAAAAATTTAATACCATCATTCTCATTAACAGGAAATACATCTCAATATCCATCAGAATGTAATTATGTGGATAAAGATGATTCGTATCTTGTTATACAACAACCATCAATATTATATAATTATAAAAATGGTCATCAACCATCACAATATACAGGCGCACAATTTAATATATTATTTGATGAACCTGAAGATGATGGTGAACAAACATCAGCATGTTTATTTGAATTAACTCCTCCTACACCTCTACCTATTCAACGTGTATCATCAGAAGATGAATTAAATTTTTATGCTAAACATAAACGTGCAAAATTCATAGGACCCTATCTATTTGGTGATGCTATTGGACAAGGTTCATATGCAAAAGTAAAAGAATGTTTAGATCGTCGTACGCTATGTCGACGTGCTGTTAAAATAATGCAACGTCGTCGTTTACGTAAAACACCACATGGAGAAAAAATGGCGGCAACTGAAATACGTTTATTAAAAAAATTAGATCATCAAAATATAATAAAATTATATGATTTTATACGAAATGATGAAAAACAAAAATTATATTTATTTATTGATTTGTGTGTTGTTTCATTACAAGAAATGCTTGATAGTGATGACCAACAACGAGAAATCAAAACATTTCCTATATGGCAAGCACATGGATATTTTGTACAATTAATCGATGGTTTAGAATATCTTCATTCAAAATTTATTATTCATAATGATATTAAGTATGTAGAATACATTAGATATAATATATGATAAAATAATTACGAATTATTTAGACCAGGAAATTTATTGATAACAGTTGAACATCAATTGAAAATTACAGATTTTGGAACAGCTGAACAACTTGATATGTATGTTTATGATGAGTGATTATTCGTTTGTAATTCTTGTTGTTTTTTCGCTTAGGTTTAGTACAGATGATACAATCACAAGAAGTCAAGGTAGGTTATTTTTTAATTAACAAGGAAATAGTTCTTTAAAAATTTAACTTACAATGAGATACAATTAGAATATCTAAGGAATATAACAATCATAAAGGTATAGATAATTGTAATAAAATGACAGCAACCATTAGAGATGATATGACTATCGCTTGTCATGTAGAGAAATTTTAAATCTCAATTCAAGTGATACAAATAGTAATCGTTACAGGTTTTAGAGAAATTATACATATAGATGACGATTTCAAATTTTATTAGTCGACATCAGAACAATAAAAAGCACTTTTCTATGTTAGTCTTATGATAATTTAGATAAATAAAAAACCAATGAAGTATCCTAAATTTATTTCATAAAAAATCAAAATTTCTCCCTCTCGTTCAATAAGTTTCACATCAATGAATTTTCATATTCAAGCATAAGTAAATAAATATGACATTATCAGTTAGATCTCCCTCGCTTTTGTACAAGTGTATACGAGTAGAAATTTTCACACACTCTCCAAACGTGATCAACGCGTGTCCTTTTGACCTGGTCACAGACGTAACCGACATATATTTTTCTTTGATCCTGTTATATACGTGACCGTCACACAGACCGCCATTGAATTGGAGAAGAAAATAAAACTATTAAACTCATACTGTTTAAGATAGATACGCTCTTATTATTCTTTCAATATAGTAGTTCATATTCAATTCTGAATATGTTTAGGTACTCCTGCTTTTCAATGTCCTGAAATTGCAAATGGTGAAGATACTTATAATGGTTTTTCCATTGATATATGGTCATGTGGTGTGACATTATATAATCTCGTTACTGGACGTTTACCATTTGAAGCAGATAATATTTATTTATTATTTCAAACAATTGGTAAAGGTGTTTATACTATACCAGATGATATTGAATCTCATTTAGCTTCATTTATTCATGGTTTATTACATATTAATAAAAATTTACGTTTAACATTAGAACAAATCAAACAACATGAATGGTTTCGAAGACGACCACCACGTACATTTGAATTTTTACCATTTCCTCCCTCAGCATTAAATCGTTTTCAAACATTTACAATGCATGATTATTTAACTGAATTACATCGATCAACAGTTTTATCTGAGGAGGAGAATCATAATGATAATCATCAAGAAGAACAACAACAACAAATAAAAATACCTATTGACTCAACTTCATTCTTTCATTCACCATATGATAATCAACATGTAGAATCACAACAACAACAACAACAACAACAACAACATCAACAAGAACATAATGGTCGATCAAGACTCAATTGTAGTTGTAGTCGAACATTAAGTGGTGAAAATATCTATCCAACTAAAACTCGAAATCGACATCAACCACGAATATGTGTTTTATCATAAAAAGCTAAACTCAAAATTAGATTAAATTATTTATTTCTTTTCTCGTTTCTAATGTATTTATTAACTGATAAAAACATTGATGTAAACATTCCCCTTTTGTCTTTCTCTGTCTCTTATTATCACACATGCATATTCAGAACAGTTGTTTTCTCTTGTTTATTTGTTTGTTTATACTCTACACTTGTTAACCCTAAAAATGGTAATGATAAAAGTGTGACTAAATTTCATATGAATGTGTCTTTGTGTGCAGTGACAGTAGATAATTATTCATTGAATTCTTACTGATTAGCTAAATGTGCTTTCTCTTGACCCTTCTGTTTTTTTTTTATATTCATCAATCTGAAACTTGTTATCTCAATTTATAAAAAAAAAGAAAAAAAGAAAACGAACAAATATAAATATTCAAATGATGATTATCATATAAAAACAAAAATCTGTTACCCGGAATAAGTTTTACAAGTCAATCATACTCATTGCATATTCATATAAATAGTTTTTATTATAAAAATAATTTGACTTCTCAGATGAAACTCAATCTGTAAAATATTTTAAAAGACATCAAATAAACTAACATGTAAAGCATTACCAAAAATATTCATTTTATTATTAATTGCAAAGTGTAGGGAAGGTAAAATATATATATGTATATGCGCGTGATAGTCATAATGATTAAAAAAAAAGAATCACGTTGATTTTATTATGATTGTGCAGACAAAATAGGTAAACGTTCATTATCACTATTGGTCGAAAGATTTGTTCGTCTTGCAATGGATCTATTTGTTGGATAAAGTACATAATGTTGAACAATAAATAATATATCAAATAATATAGAAAATAATCCCAAACCAAATTTTGTTGGTGAACCAAATATAGATGACCAATCATTATAATTCGTCGCAAGTAAAAACATTTGTAATACACTTAATAATCCACCGGTGAAATCAAGTAAAATATTACCAATAGACCATCCTTCAGTTGATTGTCGTCTATAATTCATTAATGCTTGTGGAACATATTTAACCATTGTTATTAATAATTTAACATAAGAATAGAAATAAAGTAATGTTAATGTTGATAAATGATTGGTAAATGAAATGATTGTTGATATGAACAAAAATAGAATTAATACACCAGCAAATGTACGAATAACAGGAGTTATACGTTGTTTGTCACGTTTTAAAAATACACATTGACCAGCAGTTATGAAACATGCAATCACAGCATGAACACTGAATAAAACCTAGAATTAATATTAAAATTTTTCAACACACGTTTTATGTAATCCATATAAGAAAAAGATCATATTTTTCTTACATCATTAAATAATACAGGTAAAATTCCATGTGGATGATTAGCATAATATTGCTGTTGAATATCATGTGATGTATATAAACATATATTAAATATTGAATAGCATGAATGTCCAAGAACATTCAATGCTAAAAAATCAAAATTAAGCCCAACAACACTTTGACGACGAAAATTTAATACTATTTGAGGATAAAAAGAAATAGACCAAGCAAAAAAATAAACCCAACCAACAAGTTGTATTAATATATTTAATGCTTTACTGCGTGCGATATCAATAAGAAGAAAATCATAAGCAGATGATATATTAATTTGTGGTGATTGTGCTGTTACAATAAGATGCCCTTGACGAAGACCATTTACTATTATTACTCGACTTTGATCATCACCTGTTCGTTTAGTAAATGTTATATTTGGTAAGATTCCAATGTAGCCCTGAGGGTCATAAAGTTTATTATTATAAAGAAATGATACGAAGACATCAGGTGGAATTATATCTGGAATTAAAAGACGAACATTAACTGAATATTTGTCACCGATTGTAATACTAATTGAAGATGGTTCAAAACCGATTACTGATTGATCTTGTTGCGCCTTTGTTGTTAGATTGAGAAGAAGAAAAAACCATAACAATATAGTTAACAATTTTGAATACATTCAATCTAAAACAATCATATACTTTTTCTCATTTGAATAATTCGGATTAATGTTTTTAAAATGAAGTGTAATTACTGTAGCTTCGTTCGTTAGAAGACAATCAATCATTTCCCGACTATACACTACTAAAAAGTTATTCTAAAGATTAATGTATGAGTAAAATATAGAATAAACTCTTTCGGATTATAATTTCGAAAGGTTAATTATTTTGATATTAAAAGAATGTTTACTAATATACAACTATCACTTTTTTTCTTATTGTTTCATGATTGGCTCATAGCTTTCGTTTAGTTTTGGTCACAGAAGAGAAAATTCAAGAGAGAAAGTCTCCCAGAGTAAACGAGAAATGTTTTTTATGCGATAAAATGTGGCGTTAGATAATGCTTTCAAAATAACGTTATTTTCTTCGTTGTTGTTTGTAGAATAGAAGTTTTTCATTTTCTCTTTGAAAATTTATACAGGTATTATCTTAAATTGAAAGAGAAAATAGTCTGAAGTCAAACTCAAAGTGAAAACAGGACACATTGCCATAAATTGTTCGTCTGTGATACAGCACGCAGTTCTTTCTACGATTATATAGAGAAAACTATATTGTATTAGGAAATACAACAAGTTTGTTTGTGTACAGCTCGTCATCCTTACTGAAAAATAAAAAGACTTACGTTCCTAAAATTCTCAGGGAGAAATCCAATATATAAGAAAAAAACTAGGGAGGGGAAATACCCTCTCACCTCGCCCATCCTCTCAAATCGTATGGCTTGTGATTGTCACTTCTTTTCTTTGATATTTTTAGTTTTCGAGACAAAACATCAGCTTAACATTTACCTAATACTATATACTAAAAAACCTTTTGTCTGAATGGTTTTCTTATTGTAACAAATCAGAATAAATGTGTCGCCACATGTATTTTTATTTTTGTATAGTTTTCGTGAAAACTACTTTTATTTTTTATTTTTAAATATATATTAAAAAAATATATCAAAATTTAGCTGTTCTATCATCATTTATGTCATAAAACAATTAAAGCGATTGTCGCGACTCATTTCTTCGAATGACAATTCATCTCCATCCGGGCCTTTTTCTATGGCTGATGCTTATTTTTTACAGATTATTCACCAAAACAAAATTTTCACCTATTGAACACTTTTTTCACTGCGTATATTCCATTGTTTACACTTTTTCACTAAGAATTAATATTTTCTGTATATTAATATTTCTTTTCTATTTATAGAAAATAAGAAAATTTCTTCGACTTTTTATTTATTTTGAACATCATGTCTTTTCTACATTTGGCATCTACTGCCAATTCGTCGTCATCATCAACACCATCATCTTATTTACATGTAAATAGTAATGGTGGAGTATCAACAATACCATCATCATTAAATTCAAATTCAGCATCTCTACTTGGATCTATTGGTAGTGGAAAACAATGGACAGCAATTGGACAGCCAACATCATCAACATCAACGTCATCATTATCATCAACGTCAACGTTAGCACAACAATTATTAATGAAACAACCAAATCTTCTTAATCTTCATCAATCATCATCACATTTTGATGGTATTCTTGGATCATCACCTCAAACACAAATGGAAAAAAATGTAAAATTTTATTTTTTAAATTTATATTTAAGAAAAAAAAAGAATTTTCCAATTCATAGTTTGAATTACAACAAGAAGATTTTCCACCATTACCTCATCGAAATAATTTTCATGAACCAATATCATCTTCAACTAGTAATATTCAACCACTTTATCAAAATCATCAAACAATAGCAAATGGATATAGTTCATCACAACATTCACAATCGCAATCACCTATTTCATTTAAAACATCAATTGATACATTAAATACACTGATAAGTCGACATCAAGCATCTACTAATAATAAATCAATGTCATCATCATCATCGGGAGCAGCGCCAACATCGCAAATATCAATTCCATCGTCGACCGTAATAAATACAAATGGTTTACCATCAACAACAATAACAGATCAATATGGTCTTGTTGGTCTTTTACAAATGATTCAACATGCAGAAAAAAATCCTGATTCTTCAATGTTGCTTAATTTTGATTTAACGACACTTGGACTTAGTATGTAGTTTATTTATAGTTGTTCAATATATTCTTAAAATAGAGATTTCGAATATAGCAGTCATGAATGATCTAACAATATTGGAAGTCTTTTTACTGTATTGAAATATTCCTAATTCGGATAAGATCCGAAGTTCTTACGGTAGATGATTATTATTATGACACTTCTTTGTGTAATGTTTCAAACTAAATATTCTTGAAGAAAATACTGTGGTAATATATGAGAATATCGTAAAATGTATGAACTATTTTACTGAATTCCAAAACTATCTAAAAGTATTTATTTATCAAATAAATTCCTGTCTAAAATTTTATTGAAATACAAATTCTATAATCTTTAGAACTACAAGTCTCTTTTGATAAAATCCAAAAGAATAGATCTAAATGTACTTTCAAAAGTTGTAGTAGTGAATTGTTCAAAGCTTATTGCTTAATATCAAGATTGAGTTTCAAAGAGCATTCAATAGGTCAAAAGAACATGGGTCGTTTTAAGTAAAAATTTTATACTATGTTAAATATTACTTCAGTCATCTTTTAATATAATTCTAAGCTGAATTTTGATCTTTCATTAAATATTTACAGATAGATTAGAATTTCTTAATTAGTAGATTCGAATTCTTTGTGAATTGGCTAAATATGAGATCGAATGATGTTAAATAATCTGATATATTCTCTTGTTTCTATTTAGGTATGGAAAGTCCAAATGATTTACATCCATCATTTGTTTCTCCATTTTCTGATAATCAAGGTCGAGCATATGAAATTGATTATCAAGTACCAGTTGAATATCAAATGGGTATGCAAATACGTGAAAAATTACCTCAAGTGAATTTTTCAACATTAAATGAAGATACATTATTTTTTTTATTCTATTTATTTGGTAATGATTATGTGCAATTATCAGCAGCAACTGAATTATATAAACGTGATTGGCGTTATCACAAAGAAGAACGTATATGGTTAACAAGAATAAAAAATATTATGCCTGATCAAAAATATGATACGTATGAAATAGGTGTTTATTGTGTATTTGATGTTCAACTTTGGCGTAAAACACATAAAACTATGCGAATTGATTATGATAAACTCGATGGTAAAAATCTCAAGGAAACCTTGATTTTATATATTTTATATTTAATAATAGGTCCAGTATTGAAACAACAACAACAACAACAACAACCAGATTTACTTACATCAAAATTTATTCAACAACAATATGCGCCTGTAACATCATATAATACAAATTCATCGAGATAGTCGCTTTATTTTTTATAAATAAATCGGTGTATATAAATAACAAATAGAAAAACCAATCATGCAGTTATATGAATGACGTCTGACAGACAACAATGTTTTCGTATTTTTTCAGCAATTGTGTCTTGTCGTTGTCATATGTAGATGTTTGTGAGTGCTGTTATTTTACGTTCACTCTTTTTTTTTTCTTCTTTTTCTTCGTCATGATGTCGTCATCTCATTCATTGTTGTGTTTAACATCCTGTACTCTTCTATTTACTTTTGCCTCTGTCTTTTTCTCTTCCCTTTTTTATAATATATACTACACTATGTGAAAAACACCGAAGTACTTTGTTGAGCTGAAAACGAATATTCATTGAGAGAACATCGCCTATAAATATATTACTAAAATTTAAATAGACAGAACAATGATGAAGAAAAATAATAGAACCTAACATAGATATATATATATATATAAATATTAAATATTAATAAAAATAAAAATAAATAAACCAATAACTAGAACTTTTGATTCATCTTGGAATGATCGATAGTAATAGCAATTGATGTAATTACAATGTTCATTTTGATAGTTAACTATATAATTTGCAAATCTGACTTATGGAACTATAATTTGATGAAATAATTTATGTGACCTTTTGACTCCCGGAGGCGCAGTTATTTGATCAAGATGGTGCTCCTAGTGTATATTCTTTTAAAGCTTATTAGGTGATATTAAATATGATGATATGTTATCTGCATATAGAAGGCTCAAAATCTGATAGGATATGCCCATTATAATTATTTTCGTGCAATATGTCGGATTTTATTCAAGAATTGATTTAAAATTAGTATTTCAACTACATATTCATTAACTCATTCATTTTGCTTCCTTATTGAAAAGGTATCTAAACGTTAATCAAGAATATTACTCCTAGATAGATCAATGTATTGCCTCATACTACTCTCGAAAATTACCTTTTGTCCTTATAACATTAAATTGATCATATTGAATTTTCTCTTTTGATTGGAATTCTTTAAGTTCATCTATGTCTTTACAGATAGATGCATATATCAATTAAATCATAGTTTTGACATGGTTGAAACTAATAGGAAGTTATATTATTCGTTCATCTATCTATCCTCATATTATAATATATATTCATTTGACTATTCTTTAAAAAACAGGATCTCATATTGAATCTTTCTAAGGCTCAACAGATAGAAGCTCAGAAAATCCATAAGTTGCTACCCAAATCCAAAACATAACTATGTTTAATAAACAACTTTGTTTTTCTAGAAAATGTAAATGAAAATAAGACTTAATATCCATATCCACATTTTAGAATATTTATATGCAATAAATTGAAAATGATTTATTAATGAAAGATCAAAAGTGCATTTATTTCTTTTGTTACCTGATGCTTCAGGTAAAATAAAATAATGTTCAGGTTTTTCTCTTCGAAATTATATTAAAGTGATTAAAACATATTTCCGAGGTAAATAATTTTCTTTTAATATTCATTTTCTATGAAACGAATTACTGCATAAGTGTAGAGAATTTTATTCAAAACTTAAAGTTCATTTTCACTACATTGTAGAGGATGTTCTTTATTCTGACTAATGAACTGGTACTTATTTGTATTCTTACACTGACTAATTAAAATCTATATTTCATTTAGTTTTATTGATTTTAGATCAATTTGTTTATAATAACTACATCTGATGGGGATTCAACAGGTGTAAGTAATATTTTTGAAAAATCACTTTTCTCTTTATCAAATTCGAATCAGAATTTAATGGATTGAATGAATGATTTATAAGAGGAAAAAACCATTAAATAAAGAGAATAAATGTATTGAAGAAAGGTATGGATGTACTTGATGAGATTAATCTTATATCCGCATCCACCCTCAGGAAAATACCTCGTTATTTTATAAAATTCATATAATATATATCTTACTACTCTTCTTTTTGTTTACTTTCAGTATAAAAATAGTAATTTTTTATCTGATATATGCAAAATAAAATATTATTACTAGAAGAGATGGATCTTATCATTAAGTCATATAAAGTATGATGTAATGACACTCTCTACAACTGAGTAATATGAAATATTAAATGTGATTTCGGAATTCTATGATGTTGTTTAATTTTCAATTTTGTTCCCAGTTTTTTTCAATTCAAAATGTAATGAAACGTAAAAAATGGTTTAAAAATTAAGGCTAATAGATCTATAGTATAACAGAATGTTTATAATATTTGTTCATTATCATTTACAACATCTGTTTGTTTCAACACAACGATAATTAAACTTTCACTAATAATTCTGGTGACACGAATGACGAATTAAAAGTCAAAAGAGATATAGAAAATGTCATCGTACATTTGAATAATATCGATTGTATATACAAAATAAAGTCAACCGTGAACAAAAATCTTTTGGCAACACAGAACAATGTTCATCAAAGAAGAAAGATATCAGCTATGAATAGATTCATTACAGAATTAAAATAAAATTCCTAATTCTTATTTGTCTTAACGGTGACACATTACATCATTAAACTATTCGAACTTTATGTACTCATTTTAAAATGCTTCGAGCTGGTTTAATAATGAAATCTATTATTTTCTTATTGATGCATATCATTATGTTGTGACAAAGTGTATATAATTAGCACAACAAAACAACAAGATCATCATATGTTGAAGATTCGTTCGATCTCATTAAAAAGATTTTAAAAATTAAGTTAGCAGATGAGTTGACAAATGTAATTCTAATATGGAGAATAATGATTCTAATGTCCTTGCTTACGACACTAACAAAAATGATGTTACACATATGAACAGTATTACAGATATTGCATATCTTACATCTGATCAATCCACAAAAAAGACTACTTCAAATTGCGATCAATTCAATTTTATTTCGATTTTCAGAAGAAAACTAATTACAAGATAACGGAGTACCCATGGGTTCGCCATTAGCATTAGATCTTCCCGAGATTTTGAGAATAACAAAAGGAATAAAAAGAAATGGAGTTTTCCAAAATAAACGATTACTATGATGATAATATATTCTATATATTTACTATTGGTTTAATAAAAATATTCGATCTCAATGTAGAATTGACACTTGGGAATCAAACTTGCAATATTAAAACTAGAAGAGAAATTAAGTCAAACTCATCACTCATCGAAAACCATATAGACAAACTTTTATATACTCTATAATAACAATCATTCAAGAAAAGATGAATTATACCCGACTAAGACGTATTAATTATAGAACTCAAGAAGTTTCGTCAACGGATACAACATTAAAAAAACTGAAAAATCAGATTATTCAGTGATACATTAAACTCTATAATAAACATCCTCATCATATGGTTAGAACGATACCAAAAAAAGAACACATCTCTTTAGCATTGGAATCAACCTAAACAAAAACAAACAGAACAAAAAAGAAAAAACAAGTTTAACAATGAACCATCCCAAGAAATTCAACATAACTGTTTCGAAAGAGAAAATTAAAACGAAGATATAAAAAGTTAATTTCAAATATTAGTATAATTTTACATTTACATTATTATTACAAAAAGATTAGGATTCGGAATTATACGAACTACAAAATTCTGTATGAAACTTTATTCCCAAAAATGTGGTTTAGTTCATAATGATAAAATAGCTCATTGAAAAATGTATGTAACATGATTTTAACTCATTTTCTCATTCAGCAGATTTACATGGTACACAATCAAGACAGTTTTGAATTTGATCGAAGAAGAAGTTAAGTCAAGAGTTACTTTTTATACGAAAAAATTGTTGCTGAAGAAATTTATAATGTAAAACACTCTATTAAAATCTTTCAGTCAAAGGAATTATTAATATAACAAGCAAATGTTTATACGATTTATTTTATATGGTTTTCGTGACAGATAAAAATTTCAACGCTTTTTTTGTTACTTGTAAAGCTTTAATTCTAATAATAAAATGACTTTCATAACAGTTCTTCACAGTATTCTTGTCGATTCACATGATGTTGACACTTTACGAATAGTATTTCTTATTCTGAAAATTATATGAAAGGATCATATTGCATAAAATCATATCATCATACTGATTTCATTCAAAATACATTTACTTCGATACTAATAACAATAGCACATGCTTAATCTTTTTAATTCTTAAATCAATAAAAAACACGTGAATCCGTTCTTTTTTCTTCATCGACATACTGTTTTCATCAAATATTTTAAAACTATTAATATTAGACTTGTGATGAATGCTGTTCTACTTTTTGTATCGGCTTTCTTATGTTGCTCAGAAAAGGTAGCAACAGGAGTTTCTATACCGATTAATACAATCATTACTCAAAGAAATGCTGCATCTATTGGATTAGTTGGCGATGGTGCAGATGTGAATCGTACTACTGTTGGAGGTACGGCTTTAGTTGGTGGTGGTACAGATGTCGATGAAGTCTTTCAATGGATGATAAAAAAAGCAGGTGGTGGTGATTTTGTTGTAATTCGAGCTTCCGGTACTGATGCATACAACAGTTATATTTATAGTTTAGGTCCTATCAATTCTGTTGAAACATTATTGATCAATTCGCGTACTTTAGCTAATGATCCTGAAGTTGAACGAACAATTCTGAATGCTGAAGCTGTATTCATTGCTGGTGGTGATCAAGCTAATTATGTTAATTACTGGAAAGATACTAAGGTACATTATGCACTTGATTATTTACGCAATGTCAAACAAATACCAGTAGGTGGTACTTCAGCAGGTTGTGCTATTCTTGGTGGTACATATTTTTCAGCTCTTCAAGGATCAATTACTTCATCGGAAGCTCTTAAAAATCCATATCTTAATCTTCTTACTCTTGGTTACAATGATTTTCTCAAACAACCTTATCTTTCTGATGTTGTTACCGATTCTCATTTTGATAATCGTGATCGTCATGGTCGTCTTACTACATTTCTAGCTCGTATGAGTCATGATAAAGGAATACTAGCTCGTGGTATTGGTCTTGATGAATCCGCTGCAGTATGCATTGAACCAAATGGTATAGGAATAATATATGGTACTGGTACTGCTTATTTTCTCAATCAAAATGGTATCGATAGCACACCTGAAACATGTCTTAGTGGTTCTCGTCTTGATTGGTATCGAAATCAGAGAGCTGTACGAGTATATAAAGTTAAAGGTACCAATGATGGGTCAAATATGTTTGATCTTAAAACATGGGCTTATGGTAGTGGTGGCCTTCATCTTTATTATTATGTGCGTAATGGTGTACTTCATATTGCTTATTAAGTAATTTATAATAGAGTATAAATAATTTGTTCACTGGTTTTAACTTTTTGAAATAACATACCAAGTATATACAGATGTAACAATAATAATACTTTGACTTCAAAAAAATTCATTCGATCTTGATAAAAACTAGGATTACATATCATATATATCCTTTTTATTATCACTTCATAATGTGCACATTTGAGAAAGGTACAAGTTAATGCTTTACATTCATATAGATAATGAGCATAAGAATACTACTTTTAGTTTTATATTGGAATTTAAAAGAAAAAGAAAATATTGAAGAAATATTCAGCTACTGCTAATTTATAACCTCAAATATTTTAACTTGAGGCGCAAAACTCTAGTTGTTGAATATCATCATTCGATGACGGAGGGTGGGTGGATGTGGGATGAAGAAAGAATATCCACACTTACACTCTCAGGATGGTTCATATTTAATTACGTATTATTTAATTATATTATCGATATCAGTCATCAAAAATACACTCAGATACTAGCGCCCACTGTTGAATACAAACGAATATTGGTTTAATATACTTAACCGTATGATCCATTTAGTTCTGATCCATTTAGTTCATTCTTAATAATCATTCATTTATATAGATGTATAAGATGTTTTATGAAAACCGTCGATTATTTCTACTTATAATTCCAATCTTTATTGCTGTTGCAATCTATCCAGTTCCATTCGATGGTAAACATGTCTTATCACTTGATACACCTTTAATAACAACATTTAATGTTCTTGTAAATCATGTGTGGAAATTCCATCCATTTATTGTTCATGTAAATGAATTAAAAAAACTGAATGATACTTGTTCCTATTATGAAATAACAGATCGTATACCATTTTTTCCATTATATGATATATATATTCCAACAACATATTATGTAGAAATGAATATTGATCGAGAAAATCATTGTTTAACAAGTATTGTTCACACACAAATGAATATAATGCATGCATATCATCAATATTGTATGCATACAAATACATTAAAACCAACGACAACAATAATAACAGATCAATTTTATGGTAAAACTTGGATGATTTTTAAATATTATGTACGAAAAAATATGTTCATATCACATAAATATACTTTAGATAAATTACGAAAAGAAATGATGATTTATTTATCAGAATAGATTTTTTTTATATCTTTTTTACTTTAATAAAATTTTTCTACGAGATTATTTTTTAAGAAAAATCTTTAATCTGTGAAAATCATTCATAGTTTTTACAACATATGCAAATATTATATAAAGTAAAGATAGACGATGCTTTGGATTATTTTTATACCATTCGGAAAGTTGTCATCAGATGGATTAATATGATTTAATGTTTTTCTTTACGTAAGAAAAGTTATTAAAACAAAGATTAGCAGAAGCGAAATAAAAATTGGTAATTATTTACATTGAATAGTTGTCAATAATTAATGTAAGTACTAGAAAATGCTGTGGAAAGGTTGCGCTTACATCACATCTCCTACATAGATTTTACTAAATATTATTTATGATTACAGGTCGTTAATTCTCAAAAAAATTTCCAGTTAAATTGAATCGATTCTATTCTTAAATCAGTTAATGAAGCTTTACATAAGTTAGAAGATTTCATCTTCGAACAGTTGTTAAACATTAGTAAATGAAATCAAAAAAAATATTAGTTTTTTCTTAATTGTACTGATTCATTGTCACACAATGCATATACTGTATTTCTAGCATATTGAAAAGAAAACATACAACTTATTTTAATGGAATTATTTGATAAAATTGTTTCAATAAATAGAACAAATAATAACAGACCAACGATAATTGATATTTAGTGGTTCTATATAAATTAATTTTATCATTATATGCTTTCAAAGGATTCATGCAGGATGAGGATGGAATAAATTAAAGAAAAACTGATCTTAACCCTCATCCATAATTATAATCAATTTTTACTGTAGGTACATGTCTACATCTACAAGTTTATTTTCACTCACACCAATTCATCTATTCGTTTGCTATACAATATACTTTTAGTAGTTACCAAACAAAAACAATTATTATTTAATAATTAAAAATTTGAGGGTGTGCGTGTGGCATGAAGAAAGTACACCCACACCCACGATAAATAGCGCCATAACACTGTAATATGCCGTTTAGACACTATAACGGCGTTACTCAACAAAAAAAAGACGACATAGATTAGATGCAATCAATTAACTACTTTTCATTGCACTTGCTATAATTGCTTTATCGATGAGAGGAAATAGTTTTTCAGTTTTAAGAATAATATCTGCATAGTTGCGAAGAGGTATTGGTAGGCTTGCATGTTCTGGTCGTAGTATGAATTCATCTTTAGATTGAATCTGATAATGCATGATGTGTAAATGAGTTATATAGTCCCATAGTGGAGCTTCCAAACGGGCTAGATAAGGATAACCTGTGATAATTAACGCTGATTGACGAGGAAGAAAAAAAAAGAACATAGAAATACCACCACAAGGTGATATAGCAATTGTCACTGTCTGAAATAATTGTAATTGTTGAGTAATGGTTAAATTTCTAAAGTCATCAACAATGGTAACCTTGATTTCGGCATATCGAGGCGTTGATAATATTTTGTTGTAGATCTCATGTATATTGTGAAATTTTCGTCTGCCCTTTTTATTGACAAGTAAGATATGATGCTGTTTGGGAATGATATTTGGATTGATTCCATGAGCCAGAAGAAGATCTGAGCGAAAATTAGAGAAAATTTGACCACGATTGAAATTTTCTGGTTCCCAGCCAATGGCACCAGCAGCGCCTTGTCCAGCAACTAATTCTCGAAAACAAATGCGATTGGAATTTACTGACGAATTAAATAATGAATCGATTGAGCGAACCGGGTGAGAAGTAACGACTGGAAAGATTCCTTTGGTAAATTTAACACATAGTTCACTCAAATACTTTGAAAAGTCTTCACAAGGTCGAAATACTAGCACATGATTTTTGTTGGGTGAGTTATATTCGGTAGCGCGAAATTGTTTCAGAATTGCATACAAACCAAAAGCATCGTCAAAGATGACATGACCAAAATTCATATCTCCATCCGCCAAGATCTGATACATTAAATAAGTCTCATTCAAATAGTGAAGATTTCTGTTTGGATCAGATCGATTCGAATGATTCAGAGGAACTAAGCGTACTTGAATCTTACTCCCACCATCAGGCTGACCATGACGTAGAGCTAGAAATGTAGAGTTCGCACGAATTACCGTTGAACTTAACGACGTAATTGATGCTGGATAAAAATAATCAGCAATATACAGTGAACTTGATCCGCTTCTTTGTACACAAACATTATGGAATATACACTGTCTCTCTTTCCAAGAACCTTCAGTACCTATATCACCAGGATTTCCATTTACACATTGAAATGAACTGTAAAATAAATTCAATGCATCGTTACTTAAAGGAGCTTCTTTACTGACTGAATAATGCGAGGCGAATGATGGAGGTAATGAAATACCACTGGAACCCGAGTTACTTGTATTATCGTTATTGAACTGATGAGACAACATATGTGTCGTATTATCCGTAGTAAACTGGCGAGACAACATATGTGCTATATTACCACAGCAATTATAACCATTATAAGACAATAACAAGATAGTAGCAATTATCAAAATTAATGCAAAGCTAAACCATCGAGTTGCTATTTCGTTCATCATTGAGTCAGATTATCTACAAAATATAGATAGAATACGAATGATATTATGAAAGATTAAAAGGTATGTCAGTGATGATTTTTGACAGAAGAAGCTTTAGTACTGATGAAATTGCACTTTAGTATATTTTTCCTTATCAAGAATCCCATAGTTTTCATACAAAGTATACTCTTATACACTCGTCCATAGGATAAAATAAAAGAATATGAAAGAAAAGTATCAATAGAGTCAAAAGAAGAAATACATGCAGGGGGAGCATTGCATTTACTGATACTCTTTAACACCGCTCATAAAGTACTGGCTGAGTGAATAGGGAAATCATTAAAATTCTGATAAACTCTCTCCTCGATCTAATCGTGTCCTACTCCTCTTCTGACAATAAAATTTTGGGATGAGTAGAATGTTCTAAAAAGAAGAACGTGTCCTTTGTCTAAGAGAAAATAAAAAAACATTTTTTGTTCACCTACCTTTTTTCAAAAGAGGATTTGGTTGAGGAATTGAAAGTGTAATATCTGTTAATAAAGAAACAGAGTTGGTGTGATAACGACGATGATATATAATTGTGACTGATGGAAGAGATCATTCACGTTTTGAAGTCGCGTTTAATATAATATGACTACGAAACAGACGAAATTCTTTCTTGCTTTCTTTTGACTATCGTTCCTGTTGTACTTTTTATTTTCTTAATACCTTTAATTTATATTTTAATCTGGCAGTAGAATAGCTAAGCCATCGTTTTCGCTTTCGACAAAATCAATTATACGAAGTATCAATTGTGTAGTCTCCTGTGATAACCGATGAACTCTTGAGATATTAAATAATGATTTTTATCTAAAACAGACATCAGATATAAATATGAAAACGAGCTGCGTTAGTAAAATGCTTTGAACGATAATATTAAGAAAAGAGAATAAATCGTGAGACACAGATACGTTAGAGACTATTAAACATGTTTCACTTAGTTCAGTAGCAAAAGAATCGTCTAATTCAAAATAAACACTCACGGGTTGATTAGTTCACCCGATAACTTATGTTTTAAATGTATTTTTTTTATTTTCACAAATAAAATGATTGTAACTCTATGAAAGAAGCAAAATGAGTTAATTACTGAGATACTATTTCGAAGAATCATGTACAAAAATAACGAAAAAAGAATTTGCGTTAATTTTGCACTGTTTACACGTTACTTGTTGCAAATAAAAGAAACGACTAGTCAACCGCATTGAAGTATGAGAGATACACACTCGCATGCGTTCTTCTATTTGCCGTGATCACTGATACGTAGACATTATTTTATTTATAGTAAGGAAGATATGAATAAGTGATTAGGCAGAAAGGTTCGTTTATAATGGTCTTTTTCGATTGCACAGATATTGATTCGCAACGAACGTAATTACCTAAAGAAAAAAATTCAACAAACAAAAATTTCTATCTTATCTTCACTGTGCCAATAAATGATGAACCAGAGGTTCTTTTTTCATCTCAACAAGAAAATAAGCAAGGATACATGAACAAATCTACGTAGATAACAATCAGTTTTGTCATACTTGCGATGAAGCTTACCTTGAATCTCATAGAGGAAGAAAACAAAACATAACAAACATGTATTTAGAGGCGGCGCGAGCCAGCAAAGCTGGAGGGGGTATTTGACCACGTAATATTCGTACATAGCTGGCTGTTCGCATATTAAGTGGTCAAATTTTTGCTTTCTCACCCCTTACTCGCACTGCCCCTGCATGTATTAGACGAGTCTCTCACATTAATGAAACATGTGCATCTAATAAAATACAGTCAATATCTTCAACGAAAACTGTTTTCTTCGAAAATATCAGTAGTTTTCATTTATAGTTCGAAGATGTGGATATAAATGTCTGTATATATATATTCTGCAACACATTCACATCAACACCTACTGCGTCGTTTATTACTTGTATTAGTATTGTAAAAAAAAATGAAAATTTTGTACAAACGTTTTTTATTCTTCCATTGTCAATCTTATTTCATTTTTATTTCCGAACCAATGTATTTATTTATTTGTTCGTCATCACAATCATAAAATAAATTATATTTTTATAGAAAATTATTTATTTATACATTAGAGATGAAAGAAACATTAGACATTGTCTCACTAGTCATTATTCTCGTTTTGTTAGTAATGCATATTATTTATTACAGTGATTTCGTATCTTCATGTAATAGAACGAAAGAAAATGTATATACAAATTTTATTAGTATAAATAATGTGCAACAATAACAGAGGAAAAAAGAGTGACATAAGTACCTCCATGCTGACTGCTCAAAGTCATATTTTTTTTTATTCTTAAATATCGTAAAACTACGATTTGTAAAAGAGTATTTTCTCTTCATAATTGATCTTTCTCTCTTATATGAATTGATGTTGTATTGTTGGTTCATTTCGATTTCTTGTTGCGACCTACTACTTCATTTTCATCACAACACACCCTTTATTATCATATAGATATGTCCTTGTGGTGAAAATTGACATGAATCAAAGTTAAACTTCATTCGATTCGAGTTTTCATCGTAGATTACACGAAAAATAATAATTTAAATTAATCCTTACTTGAAGAATATACCGTGAACAAATCTTAAATAAGGAAAAACACTATTGTGATACAACGTTTTACTTATTCATTAATATATAAATCAAAAACAAATAATAAAAATAGAAAGTGAAATATTATTAAAATCAAAAGATTTATTTGCTTGAATTCTATTGATTGAGTATATTCTTATAAATATGCTCAAGATATATGATAAAAGATGCTTTTATGGTGCGCGTTTCCGTATCTTTAATTTTTGTTTATTTTATTTTTCAAATTTTGTCTTGCATCATAAGATATCTTGCTACCATTGAAAAAAAAATACACAACACAAGTACGATTGTATAGGATAGTTTTAGGCAGGTACGTCTATTATAATGTAGTTCAGCATAATCTATAAGAATGATGGTAAATATTGAATGAAATTTAGAAAAACTAATATTATCACTTTCATTCTCCACCATCCTTCTCATAAATGCATCATATAACTCAACAAAGAAAAATGAATGATGTTTGAGACCAAGGATACGTGTACATTTTTACAAGCTAGAAATAAAACGATTGTTCTACAGGTATAGGTAAACGAAAGCAACAAGAGAAAGAACAAACAAATTAACACGTGCGAATTTTTTGTTGAGAAAAAAGAAAATATTTAACGCGTCCGTGAGCGTTTATAAACAATGTAATTGGACGAATTTGAGTGTGTTTATTTTATTTTGAAAAAAATTCTAAAATAATCATAGTGAATTATGATATAATACTCCAATATCCTGAACCGAGATTCAAATTCATGATCAGTAAATTGCATATCAAATACAACTACCTTATGAGACAAATATAGTTCGAAGTTATATTTATGTTCATCAATGAGATGAATAATGCATTTTAAGTTCTTTATTATAAGCTTAAGAGCAGATTTGTTAATTTATCGTTGCTTGTTAGTATAAATAAATTATCTGTTTTGATCAACAATAACGACTTGATATGAGGTGTTGTTGCAAAAACAAGGATTGGATATATAAACATATATGTAAAAACAACCTTGCGTATATATCTTCTTAAAAATGTCATACGATCAATTTCTTGTGAGTCACCCGAACAAAATCTTTCTGGGTGGCTTAGATTTTTCTTTTTAGAAACATAAATCAAAAAAATAATTTATATTTATGTTTTCGTTGTTATATAAAGGACAAGTAAAAATTGGCAACCGACAGCGGATGAGTGTCGGTAATACCTCTATTTTCCACTCACACCCACACCCTATTCAAGTTTGAATGGTTACCAACACAAATACGCTGTATCTGAAATATATTCAATTGAATAATTTTTCGTATATTGTTCTAGATCATTTTGTTTTATTTGCATTTTGAGAGATTTTAAACAATGAAACATATTGAATAATTCTTGAACATCCTTCAACATTAAATATGCGCGAATTATTATTTGTTGAATATTATTATTTTGTAGAGAAAAAAATCGAAAATAAATAATTAATAATCATTAACCGCTGAGTTTCGGGAGGGGAATAAGAAGATTTTTCCGATTGAATTTAATAAAGAATTAATGATTCAAGATGATTAAATGTTGCATTAAGGGAGAATGATAGTAGGAATTGATTGATTACAAAATGATTAAATAAATGAAGTGAAATAACACAATTTAACTCTATTAGGAGTTATGATGTGTTGACAATACTGTCGAAAAGTTGTTTTACATATCGAATCAAAACTGAGTTTCTACGTTAGGGACGAGTGAATAAATAAATTTTAAAAACGATTATTAAGATAATAGAAACTTTCAAATGCATGATATGAATTAAGATAATCAAATATTTCATTATATAAATCTTCACAACAAGTTGTTTGTGATCTAAATAATTTTTAAAAATATCAAACATTGAAAAACAAAAATTTCATTTCTTGCTGTTCTTTCAATCTACACATTAGAAAATAATGAAAATGATAATAGATTTCTAATTCAAATATAAATATGTATTATTTAGTGATAATTATAATAGTTCTGTAATTAAATCTAAAATGAAAATAACAATGTAATAATGTAAAAAGTAAAACGTAAATAAAGGGCGAACATTTATTTGAAACTTACGTCAGTGATTATGAATCTTGAGGGTGAATAACGGTTAAGAATCTTACATTATAGTTAATAACTGGTTCATTCAAATTAACAATACCATACTATATTTTTGATATTACTGCAAATTGGACAATCAACGAAAGTAATCAATAGGAATAGAGTAAATAGCAGTGATATGCTCATTTTTAGTCTGTTGTCAAAAGAAAATAATCTCCTAGTTATTATTGTTTTAGTGAATAAGCGAAAACTTCACCTGTTAAAATTAAAAATCATTCAGTTTTGAAATGGAATCAATGGCTTCTGATAGTGAATCATTTAAACATTGTATTCTTCTTAATAGTCATCTTCATTTATCAGATACAACAGTTTGTTTTGAATATTTGAATTATCTATCTAATAAATAATGTAAAAATCAAACATATCATAAATTAGATATTTTTTCATGCATAAAAATACTTCTCCTAATATAAGTTTTTCATTTATTGTTTGTTTAAGGTCATTTACAAAGTCATCGTATTCGTTGAGTACGGCAAGTAAAAAATGTTTAATATTGAATAGATTATGACACATGTCTATTATGAGTTAACTTAAAGCGTTTACGATTAGTTTTAATTTTTAACATCTTGTTATCATTTTTGTCGAGATGAATTTGAATAGAATTACATTTGTTATCAATGTAAAATCTTTTTTGTTTTCTAATGAGCCATTTTGTTAATTCTGGAATTGAATTTGACAAAGAATAAACATACTGGAATGTAACAGTAGGTATCTGTTCGATATATCTAAGAGTCAATTTTACATATTGAATATCTTGTATTTGAATTTTGAGATGATCAATTCTACCAGATAGTTCGAAGCATATATCTTTGATCTGTGATTCGAACTCAGAGTTAATTGATATTCCAATTGTTCGAACGTTTAATGCATATTGTAGAAAAATTGTAATCATTTCCAATAGCTGAATATAATATTGACTTGTGAGAAAGTAGATTTCATTCAATTGTGAAAGATTAATGAACTTCGATAAACGGGCAACTGAATCGAACGGTATGAATTGATTATTGATGTCTATTGCAAGCTTTGTTGTGTTTTGAAAAAGACGATAATCTGGCAGTTCATTCTAAAAAAGAAAAAATCATTATATACACATTTCTCTGTATCTTATTATATCATAATAAACATTTTATATTTACCATAGATATCCACGATAAATTAATTCGTAAATTCCAGTCATTGCTTCTCTTCAATGCATTGTCACTTCTTCTCGTCGTAGCCGAATATGATACTGCATTACTGCTCAATTTATTAGGAAATATTTCTGTTGAAAATATAGATGATTGAAGCGTAAGAATTGAACCCCAATTGTCATGTCTATATATAGCGGTGACAAACCAATGCTTCTCTTCGAGCCAGAATGATGTACAAAACGGAGTCAAAATAGATTCAAGATTTAGGTTGTTATCACACATAAAAGAAATATCAAAATCAAATTTTTGAAGTAATGGTAATTTTTCACCGATAAAATGTTCCTGTTCCCATTGAGAGAAACGTTTTCCAAAATCATATGATTGAATCGCTTTAGTTGTAAGTTTAAGATGAATAAGAGATGGAAAAAACGATAGTAAAAATTCAATTTTATCGATTGATATGGAAATATAGTTGAAAGAAAATGAAGTCAATTGATAATATGAGGTTCTTTGTACAATTTGATTGATACTTTGGATATTAAATTCATTCATTCCAAAAATTCGAAGATTCGATAACTGATGAAGAATATTAAACAAATTTTCGTCCGTACATGTTCGGATTCTTAATTCTTGTATTGTACATGGATTTGGCCACAATATTTGATCGATTATTTTTCTATCAACAACAAGGGTCAATTTATGAAGACTCGGTATTGCAACCATCGCTGAAAGTAGGACAATAGAATCATTAGTTAGAATTTTTATTTTATTCATTTTCAACGATAATGATGTAAGAGTGGACGTTGTGATGAGGACATGCATGATTGTCTGCAGATCATATTCTTCAACATCGCCAATCGACAATGAACGAAGTCGAGTCATTTGACAAATAAAGGTACAACGCAAAAATAATTGAATTGCATTATTTTTCGATCTGTAGAGAGAATTTTTTAAAGAAAGTACAACGATATTTTCTGGTTTTAAAACTCGACACAGTCGTCGAATATCAGCGATAGGTGAATCATATGTAAACTTAATCGATAAACTATTGTAATTATGAGCAATTGTATAAAATCGTCTGCAGACATGACCAAATGAAAATAGAATATCTTTTGCATCGAGTAAATCAAGCATACGATAGATAAGTTCCACAGGAAGTGTCTGAAAAGGCGAAGTCGATTCCATCGATATCTTTAGAGAAATAATAAAGAAATATGTGTATAAAATTCTTTGAAATATAAACAAAAAGTAAAATGTAATGTTTTGTAATACTTATGAAACATATTACACGTATACTTTCCCCGAATGAATTGTTTACCGTTGATAATTATAGAAAGAAAGAGAACAAAATATGAGTCATCCTAGAGAATTACTCAACATTCAGAAATAACTACGATGTTAGTATAATGGAATGAAGTCAAAGAAAACCAATGTATTACATTCTTCTAACATTCAGAGATGTTTCAAACGGCGATTGATAATGACAACTTATATTTTATAAAAAGTTTTAATTAAAAGATTCTTTTTCTTATGTAAAATAGAATCATATTGCAAAAAATAAATTTTATATAGAGACGAGGATCTTCTTAAAATATACACTTGTACGAAAAAAAGATGTGGGTTTGTCGGTGGGTATGGTTGTCTCTACTCTTAAGTGACACCTACACCCATCCTCAACAAATATTGGTTTTGATGCTGCTAGTCCAATTCTTAATGGAGCTATTGTTTTAGGACATCAAGGTTTGTTAGCTGGTTATCAATATGTTTTTATAGTACGACTAAAGGAGCATTAACAAATACATTAGAAAAATTTAAATTAGTCATAGTTCTAATAAACGGCAGTATTTGGCTTATGATAGACTTGATCATTTTTTTATTTTAGCTTTATTATGAAGCTGATCCGCAAGAGGAATGTATCTGTTTATTAATTGTATTTAGTCATTTTGGCGATGAAAATGTTCAACATCAAACACTTGAATATATACATGGCATGAAGTCTTGAGATTTTTTATTTTTGGAATATAATGCTACATGATTTTATTATAGGATGGGTTTTTATAAACGTGAAATACGTGTTCAATTCTTTTAGCATTTACCAAGCCAATTTATTATAAAAGAGAGAGTTGAAGAAGTTCGAGTAAGATTTTAATTATTAAATAAACTTAATACTTTGTTTTCATTTATTTATTTTTAGAAATTTTATGTTGATCATCCAAATTAATATTCGTCGACTTGTTCTTAAACGAGAAGAATGTAGCATTAATGACTTTCTTAATATTTGAAAATAACGAATATCTCTTTTTCTTTCATTGTTAATTGTTATATCTTCTTTATTCATTCAGAAATGATTTCGGTGTTTTCCTTTTAAATAAATATCATAGTTATCTCTAAATAAACTACTAAAAAATAATGCTATACCATTCTGTAGAAGAAGATTCTTAATTCTATTCAAATTATTCTACAAAAAAGAGTGAGATGAGAAAAGATCATTAACACTTATATCATACTCACAACATATTAGTTGATTGAAACTTTGATGATTGTATTTTTTAAATTATTAAATATTTAATAAAAGATATTGTATAAGTTTGAATTAATAATTACTCCCAAATCAATTAAAATAAAGTTTTTCTTTGTTTATTTATATTATTTTCGATTGAAATCTTTTTATTTTACTCTCTCAACCTTGTCTGATTACCATTGTATTCTTCCTAAACCTTCTCAATTATGTTGCTAAATATAGGTGTCATTAGTATTCGATTTTGAAAGAAGAATTCAATTCTCTTTACTCTAGCTCACGACATCATAATAATAAATATTAACTTTGATTTTTATCATCATTCAAGTGGAAGTAAAACAATGTATATATGAGTAGATGAATATACGATTTTTGGACGCAACATTATTCAAACTCATACTGAAAAATAATCGTATACTATTGGACGAGGACTATTGTCGAATTAAGATTCTTCGTCATCACAAAAATTCTGTTCACAAATATTCGTGAAGAAATAATCAAATATTTTTACTTTATCAAATTATAATGCTTTATAAATCCTATAGAACGGTAAGGTTTTAAAATAAGTTTATTACTTAACATACGTTACATCATCATTTGGATATTCTTATATCTATAACTTACCAGTTTCTTTTTTTATTGTAACGCTAGATGATAAATATAGACATTTAGATATATTAATGAGTACGAATCAAGCAAATAATGACTAAGCAAAATACGTCACTTCTCTACTCAAAAATATTGAAGAGAAATATCTAATTTTACTCCCCGATGATCACGTTGTTTGGACATGAGCAAAACGAAGGATAATTATATCTTTCGCTTAACGGATAAAAAAGTACACTGCAATGACGACGCTTTAAAAATATATCTATGTAAACAAAAGGTGATTGCTTTTCGTTCTGTGCGAACGAAAAAATACACTTACCGATGATTTTATGCGCATGCGCATATATGAGAACAAAAGATAATTATCTATCTCTTTCTAAATATAAACTTAAATCTGTTTTTCTTACTGTTAAAAATAAACCAGCCTGCGTCATATTGTCTACGCATCTAAAAAAAACTATTTTTACTAAATAATTCCCTGCTTCACGCTCGATATATATATAGCCGAAGTATAACTGCATAATTATACAATATTAGTTTACTTATACAAAATATTCAACAACATTCCAAATCCATTAGCATGGTAAAATATTTAATTGTCGATGTATGTATTATTTTAATGGCGTCTGGCTTGGTTCTGGGTGTCGTACATTAACGTTGTCATTAATGATGTCACCTTCATTTATGTTAGACCTGGTGCAAGTTGAATATGCACAAGCAATGCAATTGAAGAGAATCATGGTGGTCTTAGCTATTCACCTGTTCTGTTTAGGTCTTTTATGGTAGACCTGATACAAGCTGAATATGCGGAAGCACTGTAGCTGAACAGATTCGTACAAATTAGCGTTATTACCAACGATGTCACCTTCATTAATATTAGACTTGATCAGAGTTGAATATGCGCAAGCATTGTAGTCGAACAGAATCGTAATGGTGTTAACAATTCTTCTGCTGTGTTTACGTCTTTTGTATTATTTTATTAAAGATTTGTTTTAAATTCTCAGGCATATTTGAACTAATGTTTTGTTGCATAAAGTCAGTTATCATAGAGTTTTATGGATCAGACGATGTACTCAAAGTATACGGTGTAAGAATTACAATATGTAAATAGTATCATTATTGCAATTAATCACTTCTAGTGCGTATCCATTTATCTAATCAACATATAGGCCGTGCTTGGATTTTCATAAAATATTTGAATGGAGTCTTAATTTAAAATATTCATTAACTGAACGTCTGAAAAAGTTTTTGAGAATTCAATATTCTTTTTTTTAAGTGAGAAAAATATGTGAACAGAATCGTCAGCTGAATCATTCTGTTCGCATGAAGCTATCAATCATAAGGCTATCTGTATATTTTCTTAAAACCCACATAATATTAGAAAATGTTTTTCTTAGAGCTATTCACTTGTTATGTGGCAGATACTAAGTTAGCATCAAGTCACTAGTCCTAACTGATAATCACAAAATATTCGATGAGAGGTTTTGTTAGACTTATTTGTTTGCTTTGTACTCATCAACATTTTAATCGAGTTTAGTCTTTGCTTCGAATATAAAACTATACTTGAATAATTTCATAGTATAAATGATTCTCCTGTTGTATATTTTTCGGCGTTCTAAGTAAATCCACGCTGTTGTCTCTAGCTTATCAAAATATATGACTAGTTTCTTTATATGAACCGTTCATCTACCACACGTGTACCACTGTTCTGTCTGATTCCATATCATTATTTGTAGCTCATCAAGGTATATGACTAGTTTCTTGATACGATCTATTCATCTATCGTATGAACGACAATCAAATAATCAATACGAATCTCTTATTCGAGGCCAAAACGTAATCTAATAGAATTCTTCTGAGAGCTAATCAGCTATCTGCTATCTGTTACTCGCTTTGAGTTTCCAAATCTCTACTTCACTTGAGCGAAATATTTGAATTATAGCATGATGTGAATCATTCATTGTATGTGTGTTTAATGTACATAATACCATATTCTGATATACTGTATAGTGTGAGCAATACATTTTAATATATCCATTGTTCCTTTTATTCGTATTTCAAGTTATTTACAATATAATGATTGATTTAATACATATGGCAGTCGAGTGAGCAACATAGGAGAGTCCGCATATTGTTTGCACTACTCATCTATGATGTTGTCGTGATAGAGAGGGTGAATTGCAAATATTAGCTTCAATTTAACTCAAATATCTGCATACACATTTTCTATTGGTCATTCAATGATCATGTGTTGTTCAACTTTCTGATCAAACATAGCAGTCTATTTCAATCTCCATAAAATACGTTGATAATGTCCTAATGTGAATATTTCATTTATCGTGCGTTCATCAGTACTCAAATTTAATCTATTCTCTGTTCGAATTGTGCAAAATATTTCGAATGTTTTCATTTTATAAACTACTCATTGCTCACGTGTTTCTGGATTACCTGAAAATCTCTCTTCACTACTTCTAACTAGTTTAAACTATTTGGATATGACTTTGTTATATCTATTTTATTAGTTCTGCCATCATCAAAAGCATGAAACTGCAAAAACTTTGATTCGACATAGCGGTTTAGTTGAACAGGCCCGTTGTTTAGATAGTACAATCACTACGTATCGATCAATTATTGAATCGAATCCGTATATTTATTTTAACTGCAGCAAAATATTTTAAAAACCTGTTGTTATAAACTATTCTCTTTCGTCGCGACGATGCACCATTGAATAAACCTTGTGTCTTTTCTAAATTCAACAAAATATTTTAAAAACCTCTTACTCTAAACCATTCTCTTTCGACGCGATGACGTGGCAATGAACTAACAGAGCTTCTATTCTAAAACCCGCATAATATTTTAAAAAACTCTTCGTACAAACTATTCTGCTTACTCGTCACGCAATATCATTGTTTCAAGTTTGTCTCTATTCCAAGTTAAGTAAAATATTTTGAAAATTTCCTACTCTAAACTATTCCTTTTCATTGCGATGATTTATGATTTAATCAACATTATCTGTATTATAGTTTCAGCGAAATACTTTAAAAAGCTCTTCGTACAA